TTTAAGATTTATCTATTCGGCCAGATTGAAAGCCATCTGTTGGACTATCTACACTTGCCAGTAATGTTAGATGTAAACATTGCAATTATTCAAAAAACTTTTTAATACTCTTTTAATACTGAGACTTGTTTTGAAATGATGTTAGTGAACTAAAAATTTCAAAATTAATGAGTTATATTTAAATACACATTTTATACTAGCACATTTTTTAAAACAGTTTATCTTTTCTTGTATTTCTCAGTTAGTTTTTAATTAAAAAACGTATAAATTAGTTTTAAATTAGTTAATTGTAATTAGATTTGTTTTTGTCCTTAACATTAACAACGTGTAGTGTCATACACCATTACTGTTTTCATGTCCTGGCTGACTGCACGAAAAGTCAATGTGCAACAGCTTTGCCACAAATACAGCTTTTTCCTGGATTTGAAGGGAAATATGAAAGTGATTTTCCATGATTGCTCTGGCTGATTGATAGCCCATCAAATTTAAACATTTATTTAATTTTAGGGGTATTTTCATCGAAGCATCTATGACATTTTCAAAATTTCCCCATATTTTTAACTTTCTTACACTGCCACTTACATAGTGTATGTTAAGCTATTTAATGCTGTAGGAAAATAAGTTTATTCTTATTGTGTGGCCCAGGTATTGAAAAACTGAAACAAATCATTTTCTAATTACGTTGGTGACATTACTCTCTCTTAATACCCTATGTAGTCCGGATTCCATGGTTTCTAGTCCTTTGATACCAAAAAAAATTTGTTTAGGCGTAAAACACTGTATGTGTGTCTGTCAGCCCAAACAAAAACAATAGCAAACCGTTTAAGGTAGGATTTCTTTACACAAAAATATATTCCAACAATTCATCTGGCTGCTGATAGAGCCCTTGACATTTACAATTCACAAGCTTTATCCACTTAGCATCTTCAGTATAACCACAATATAAAGATAAGAGATTTTTTCTTCCAATGACATTTTATTCCTCCGCGTAATTAGTTCTTTACTGAATGTCTTGTATATTTTTCCCAATAAAAAGGCGTTGGCCAGAAAAGGAAGAAAAACAGCATAAACACTTTAAAATCTCCAACTAAAGCCAAATTAATTGCCATATTCGTGATGCTCCAAGTATGTTTCCAGAAGGTTCATCTGATATTAAATCATGTTATTCATATATCTTGCGGATTTTTGCTGGATTGTTTCACTGGTCTGGTTTTGAAAGCAAAGTGAACACTGATTCCCTGAGAGGTAATAAAAGACCTAAATGAGTGTAAAATTTAAATTATGATGTACTGTTTATTACAAATGTTGGATTTGAAATAATATGCTTTTTAGATGCTTTGAAGTTACTTGTAGTCAGAGACAACAAACAAGCAGCAGAAAATAATAGAGTCCAAGGACTGTTGGTTGATGCTGCTACTTATATCACAAGCTATGTGGAACGTACTCTAGTACTTTCTGCTGCCTGCAGCCTTGTAAAGCTCTTGACAGCTTTCTGTCACCTAGTTGATGGCTCTGTTGATGAATCCATGCATAAACAGATTGGTAAGAATTTTAATTAAGATGTTTTATTTATTTAATTTATTTGAAACTGGATACAATTACCCAATTACATTCATATGAATCCGTGTTTACTGTGTTACTTTGAAATCTTGCAAGAGCTTCATTTAGCGTACCTCATAAGAAATGTTTCTGAAATGCTGCACAGTCAGTGAAATTCATCCCCTTATTACTTTCTGGCTACCACTTATGCATAATACTGTGCGAAAAAAGGTGAATTTTCAGCAGAAAAATTTATTACAGGGTCCTGGCAACAAAAAAGGGGATAAATCCAAATGTAAAATTTGGGGGGGGGAGGGATCCCCTTACACAAGGCTTAGCCAAAACCCATGTTTTGTGGGTCCTTGATATCAAACAAATAGATTGACGGCACCCATCTGTCTGTGAACAGCACTAACGGCAAAAATGTTCAGCCAATTTTACCCAAAATTGATATTCCCCAATCAATCTGACCGATGTCGCAGCCCCTTGAGTGTGAAACCAATATTTTAATTTTGGGGTCTACTTTTTACATGACATCTAGAGCGTTTTCAAAAAAATGGCTCATGTTTTTGAATAATTTTTATTAGATAGTATGAAGGATATTTAAGAGAATGGCTTAGGTCTCATGGTGGTTGAAGACCGTGAATTGTCGAAAACTGAAGAAATTCAAAATTTTTTCGGTGTCTTCCTACAACTACTATTATGAAGATGAACATTCTTTCTTAACGAAATGTGTTCATGAAAAACATCTAAGAATGTAATATACAATTTTTCAAAAACATGAGTATTTTGTGTCAAACTGGCAATTTTTGTCATAAATGTATTTTGATCTTTGAGTAGAGACAAAATATGCTGCTTGGGTTTAAAAAAAATAATAAAATGTTCCATACGAGTAAATAATTTATTGATGACTTTTTTCTCTTATATCTTTATACCTACGTCTTTACATCTCTTGCATATTTTGTTATGACTTGTTGCAGAAAATGCATGCAAAACATTTTTGGGACAGAGATGGTATAATTTTAAGGGTTCTGAAGAAAAGGGAGCTGAATTCAATCATCATGTGGACACTCTTGTGAAATCATATTTTAGCAATATGATTAATAAATTGGAAACTGTGTCGGATCTTGTAGCTGTTGTATACCAAGAAGTTGAAACTTGTGTTAAACTTGGAACTAAAGATTGGAGTTTAGATACTTTTCCTACAGTAACAAAGTAAGTTTATTAAAATAGTAAATTTATAAACTTATGTCCTTCCCTCCTCACATGAGCAGGTTTTTTGTTGCAATTTGCAATTAACACTGTACATGTTAGTAGAATTACGTCTTTTCGTTAATTTCGTTACAATTGTTTAATTCTATTTCATAAATTTTATAATAATTACTTCATTTACAGACATGACCAAATTATTGAAGATTTTAACTTTCTTGTAAACTACCACAGTGGAAGTATTGTAATGATGTAGGGAAAAACTGACTTTTCGATAGAACTAGTGATGCTATAGAATGGCGCAGACTTTCTCGTACCAGTTAGTTATCTAATTTCTTTTGTTTGGGTTAGCTTTTGGCTTTGCTCTACCATTTTCATAGCTGCCACCCACATCAGATTTTTTTCACATTTTCTCAAATTTTCAGTACCCTAATGATGGAACTGAAAAATACTTAAAAAATATTGTAGAAGAGTAAAACCTCATCCTGTATGGAAATTTTTGTTGAAAATTTGGAGCCATTTTTGAAAACAACATTGTTTCAACATTTCTGAAAATGTGCATTTTGTAGCTAGTTTTTAGTGAGTTTTTGACAAACTTAATAAGAAATTATTTGAAGTAATTGTACTCGCAAATGCAATAATGTATTCAAATCGCTGGTATTGTAAATATTAACAGACAAAAGATATTTTAATTAATTACATTTGTGTTATTTTTTAAGAAAACAAAAGAATACATCTAAGTGGCATTTATGTCTTGTTATTCAGCCTGTTAAGCACTATACTTTCAAAAAATATGAAGATATTTCAAAGAAAATGGCTTTTGAGCATTTCTGAAAATGTGGAATTTTGACCTCATGTTCACAGAAAAGTAATGAGTTTTCAAGGGATGTTATACGATTCCATTTGAAGCTCATAAACTCACAAATGCCAGAATACAAATCACTAGAATCGTAATTATAGTCAAATCTGCGTAAATTGGAAAGTGCCTTAACATAAAATTTTTTGTAGTCTGTGGTGTTAAATGGCATTTTACACAGCATAAAATGAAGTTCGTCCAATGCAAAAATGCAATGGGTTGTTAGGTCCTGTAGAAAGAGGAGGGAAACGTAAAAAAGCAAAATTTCTGTGAATTTAATGCAATTCGTAGAGAGATGTGTATTCGTGTGTAGAGAGATTAATGGAATGAATTCATCTGCAACTCTGATTTAAATTATCTGACCCTGCAATAAATAATTTAGTAGTGGCAGCCAGATGGAGTGGGACTTCTGCGGGTCAGCATAGAATTCGACCTTGGGGTCATTTGCATCCCAAGGCATAAGCCCTAGAAGAATTCCCTGCCTCCCAGCAGTCAGAGCGTGGGTAGATGCATGGACATGGCTTCTATTCATGTTTCTCCTTCCCTCATGTGATAAATCGTAATCCCTTGGTTAGCGGCACTTTGCTCAAGGCCATGCGAGGGTATCAGAAACACAGTACTCTGGGCTGTTATGCATTGTGTTGAAAGTGTCAAAGAGCAGTCTTAACATAACTATTAACCAGTAAGGTAGTAAATATTTTTGTGTTTCACAACCAAACCAACCTAAAACTAGCAAATTTCATGACTTTCTTAAAATTATTAAAGTACTTAAAAATACTCGTATTTTAGATCAAACGTTAATTTATTTTAATAATTATAAGAAAGTCTAGTAATTAACTACTTTCAAGACAAATAATAATATCACTAGTATCCTGCACGGGCAACCCTGCATAAAACCTCCCTAAAATGGATTTGTTTGTCTTGAATAATTGTGGCTTAGACAGATTTTACTGTACTAACAACGATAGAGATGTCCAAAACATTTGTGTATAAAAAAAATAAAAATAAAAAAAAGAAGAAGAAAAAGAAAAAACGAATACAGCAAAATTGTTTTTGTCAACTTATTTGGTACACTTAACCCAAAAGTTAAAAGAAAAAATTGGAGCTCTTTTTGAAAAAATCTTGTTTAAGGTATTTCTCCCCCCCCCCATATTTCACGCAAAATTGCTTGAAAACTACAAGTAAAAAAAAAAGTATGTGACATTAATGAAAGACCTAATTATGGAGAACATTTCATTTGAAGGTATAATCTCTATCTTCAGTGTTGTAGTTGTAGGAAGAAGCCACAAAAATTAAACATTTTTAATTTAAAAAATTTGATAATTAACAGTGAACATTTGACATATGCCAAGTGTATTTCCCTATTATTACAAGATATTTAAAGAAAAAATATTATCTTTCAATTTTAAAAATATCACAGTCTTAATGTAAATTACTGCCAAAAATTAAAAAAATAGTTTTCTAAATTGCAGAGCTTTGAGTCAGGTCAGATCAATGGAAGAATTAAATTTTTTATTTATTTATTCAACTCACTGGCAGACTGCCCAAATATAATAATAAAGTTAAGAATACAGAGTTGTTTTTTTCATTGCAGCGAATATTTTCAATTTACACGCAAAATAATTTTTACTGACATTAACTTAAGCGTTAAGTTCTCAAAGTCTTGTTTCTGTCCATATTTCCGTATATTTCTCTATTTTGGCCATGATGGTCTTTCAACATCATTTTAATTTTATATACAAAATATCCTATATAATTATTACATCCTATTTATTACAAAATATCCTGGTATTTTGATCCATTTCAGTATGTAAATTGCCATTATGTTAGGCTTCTTGTAAATAGTTCTATTAATGGATTGAATCCTGCTGGACTTTGTAAAATTTAAAATAAGTAAAAGAATCACAGGTGGTATAAGTTGCTCAGTTCACACATTGATAAAACACAAAATATTTCCATGTTCCTCATGAAACTTGAGATTGATTACAAGTTAGTGCAGGGTTTGGCTACAATAAATAATTATCACTTGTATATTTTTTTGTACATAGGAGCAACTTTACTTTGCTGTATCGAGCATTGTGTTTAGCACTTGTGCAAGGACTTGAAGATACACTTGAAGGATGTGCAAATGATGGAGCTCGTTTCAAAGCCTGGGAAAGTGCTATAGAATCTTTAAGAGGCTTGATGATGATAGCTCGTAGCCAGAACACTCGATCTAACTTGGTGGCCTTTGTAAAGGTATGTTGAGTTGTGTTTCTGAATGAAAAGATATCTAATTATTAAATTTTTAGCTATCTATTCTAGAGCTGTGATGTACTTATTGCAATTGCTCCTAGAAGTACAAGCCCCCAAAAAGGTAAAAATATTAATTTCAGCATCCAAGTTTTACATTATTGTTAACATCTGCCAGTGAATGAAGCAGAATTAAATTTGAAGCCCATTGATTTTGAGGCAAAGACACCCTCTTGAGATATTTTTCCAGCTGAGTGAAGTGTATAGAACCTTTTATACTTGCCCTGCATACAATTTTGCGCTTTTGCAGACCTTTAGAACGAGCAGGGTGGCTATGGTGGAATTGATTTTTATTGAAATCACTGATACCCAGGATACACAAATGCAATCATTGTGTAAAAGTTCCAAGTACAAGAAGCAAAACATCATGAACTTAATACTATTGTCTATCAGTAAATTAATATTTGTTCTTGATAGTTGTCTGTGAAATAAATGTGACATGTGAATTTTTAACAAACTGGAACCAAGTAAGATTGGTTGTTGGGCTGATAGGTTGTTAAAATTTATTTTTCTATTCAACACTGCAATACCATTAGTGATGCTGAAAAAAAACAAAATTCTTATACATGTTACTTACAATCTAAATTGACCAATGCAGTGCTAGTGCTAGTACCATAAATGCCAGATTTTGAAGGACGAATCATTGTGGAAAAATATTTTGTCCAAAATGTGTGAAATGCACATTTTTAATGTGTTCTTTAAATAATTGAAAGCAAGTAATTATTAATATGTGCAACTTTTCTTGAACGATAGCTTGTAGAAATGAGGGTAAAGTGAGGGTATTGGTTACAATATCAGTCTCTAAAATCTAAACTGTCAAAATCAAAATCTAACTATTGCGGTCACGGCCAGATCCCCACTCAGGGTAGACAATATCATGTTCACCGTGGTGATGTAAAGCATAACTGTGACAATACATTAGAACCTTTTTTCGTGTTTTAAAGTCACTTACCTTTACAACTCTCACAAGTCTGCATTTGTCACTATTGTATGTTTTTCTAGTAGGAAGAATTGGGGACTTTGAGATTTATCCTGTGAATATCCTGGATTTGGCTTGGCTATTTTCCTGTATTTTGAAGAGAGAGAAAAAACATGAACAGTTCTCGTCTGCAAATGGCTTTTGTCAGTGAAGATGAGTTTGGAATGTTGTCATCAGTGCTCACTGAAGTCTTTTCATTTTAATCATTTAGTGTATCAATTAGGGAGATGCTTGGCAGTTGGTCAAGAAAAGTTGCCCCAATAAAAGCAGCTGCTTGATTCATTTAATTGATTTTCACAGAACATATGATCCGAACCATAGACTGTGAGATACATTAGTGTGAATGGTGATTGTGAGTAGAATCACATCATTAATTGACTTCAGTTAGTTTGGATCTTTATTTTATTTCTTTACCATTGTCATTAATTCCTTGTCCTTTTAAAACTGACTGTATATTAATTTTAAGAACTCTGGTTATTTTGTAATTTTAAATATGTTTCTACTGTTTGTAAATTAATAGTTCCTTGCACTCAATTTTTATTATTATTATTTTTAGAATGCATTGCGCCTCTTAAGGACATTTTTGAAGAGAGGATTGCCGATGTTTATTCAGCACTTTCGTTCCCGGACAAACCAAGTAACTTCTGTATTGAGTACTTTGCAAAAGTCAACTCGTTTCCTTAATTCGATTTGTTATCATTCTAAGGTAAGATATTACCTAAATCTCTTGAACAGTTGGTTATTGTTTCCTTGATAGTAGTTATGAAATATTTTCATTTACTCTCTTAATGTTTTTTGGTGCCAAAAGATCTAGCTTTAAAAATAGAATGCATTATTATCGAAGGCCAGTACAAACAAGTACAATTTTTTATAAGTCAATTAAATCAATGTATTAAACACATATTTAAAATGTTCAAATAATTTTACAAACTGCAGATTAATTTCATTACTAATTTAATTATGTAATTTGTTGAGGGATAGTCAATGAATTCGGCTCTCAATTAGACCAAGACGATATAAATGTACATTATCTGCAACCATCCACCTTGCCCTTAGCGTTTGTACACTCTGTAGTAAAAAAGCAAGTTATCAATATCATTTGGTTTGGATCTCATTTTTTAAATTGCTAAATGTTGCTGCTTTTTGCGATGGGGAAAAATCAATACATTTTGCATTGTACCTATAGTTCAATGAAATACTTTTTCAGGTGAGTGAAGTATGGCAAAATGAAAACGCACTTCAGGAATTAGGGCAGAATGCATTAATACAGAATTTTAAAATTTAGTGTTATTTGACAATTGGTATATTAACTGTTCACATTGATTTCAGTCTACAAAGGATGCTACTCTCACTAGTCTGGTCCCAGCTTTACGATTTGTTCTTGAGCAAATTGTTGTGTCTGTCCGTACAATGCTTGCCAAAAATGATTGCCGTGATGCATTTTGGATAGGTATTTTGAAAAATAGAAACCTGAAAGGAGAGGAAGTTCTTTCTCAGGTGAGTTATTGTTGGTTAAGTGTGTTGTGTGTCTCAAATGGTCTATTTGCTGACTTGTACTGCAATGTAGGAAAGTGAACCAGCAGCTGAAGAGGAACAGGAAGAACAAGAGCTACCTTCAGATGATGATTCTGATGTAGATGTTGATTTGGCTAATGCTGCTGAAAATGAAGATGATCAAAATGATGCTACTTCTTCTATTAGTGAAGTTTTTTGAACATTAAAAGTATTGTTAAACCTTTATTTCAGTTGATTACTCAAAATTTTTCCCAGGAGGATTAATCAGTGAGACTAATTTAATAAAGTTTATTTACCATTGCTGAATTCATAGATTTAATTTTCACTTACTTAACATTATTTTGTACAGAGAGATATAATAAAAATGAAATGAAAATTATTTTTAAGTTTTTGTTGTTGTTGTGTTTGTTATTTTGCAGGCTATATCTTATAATGAATAATCTAAAGTTGATTAAACAAACACTTTTGTATTTATTGGTCACTGAGAGTGATTGAGAAATGGGTGTTCTGCCATTGTGGGTTCTGTGGGTCAATTGGATCCTGCATTGACCATTCATTGAAGTCTGCTCTGTTATCGGCATCCACAGTAATGATAGTATGAGCTCTGTGAACAGAAGTTGTTTCAAATTATTTTTAATTACATTAGCTATAATTGAAGGATTTTTTTTTTTAATTAACAGAAATGAAGGATAATATGAGAAGACTATAGTTCAAGAATTATCTCATACAGTAACTTCATATTTCTACCCTAGGAACATTAATATTGATAAGGTGGATCATAATAAGATCCATATTCGAAGCAGTAATTAACTTTTCTGAAAAAAACTTAAGTTTTGAAGACATTTTCAATTTACTTAGGTTGTAATTAATACAATTTTCAATATAACACATACAGAAAATAGTCCAGGAGTTGTGTCTGTGTACTGACCTGAAGGATCTTTCATTAAGTAATTTATCATTTATTTGTTAAATATCTTTAGCACACAGTATATTTAAAAAATTAATGAAAAAGGGGAATACAGATAATAGGGAAAAGTGTAAATGAAATATATTTATATAAATGTAGATAGATATTGAGAGAGAAAAAGAAACTATTCTGTTACACATGGTTTAAAAGGACTGGAGAATGTGGAAATTTGAGGGGAGGGAACCCTGCAAAAGTTAGGGAATTTTTTGTAAATACCTAGAATTTTGTTTTGCCAAATAAAAATGTTTGTGCTTTGTGATAAATAATGATTGTTAAGAGTTCATATTTTATAAGTAGTGGGTTTTTGTTTTGTTTTTACGGTGAATTACAAAAGTGATTTTTTTTTTAATCGTTTTAAATGGATTTTATAATAAATACTTACAGAGGAGGCATAATTTAGTGTTCTTTTTTTGTTGTATTTGTCCCTCAGAAACTGCTTACATGTACAGAAGTATAGTAATGTTGCAGGGGAAAAACTGCAATTTTTGACAGAAAAATTAATCTTATGATTCCCTGGTGCATGTAAAGTGGATAAACCTTGTACTTTATATACATTGAACTAGCAGAATCCAGCATACATTGTCCTACTTTCTCTTTTTTCCTTTATCCCACTTTTTCGATATCTTTTAACCTCTTGCTTATTCCCTTTGTCTTTTACCTCTCCCTCTTTGTCACCTCGCATTTTCTCCTCACTTTTCTCTTGCTTTTGCACTACTCTTTCTCCTCTTTCCTTCTTTCTCTTCCCCTTCTACGTGTCCCCTGCTCTCTTTTAGCACTCTTTCCCTCGTCTCTCTCTTTTTTCACTATTGTTTTATCATCTTTTTCCCGCACTGCTCGCTCCTCGGCCTAGCCGTGTCGCACAGCAATACCGAACAAACGCTGGGTTTCCAAGTGGATTGGGAATTGCATTTGACTGAAGCGCCATGTAGTGGTGTTACAACAAAACGAACACCATAAAAACCTTCGTGAAAAATTTCATAAATATGCCTCCTTTCATGGAAATCGGTCACGGTGTAATTCACCGCTCTGGTACGTACCAACATCCATATACATTTGTGTGTGGAGAGATTGCTTCATACGTGTAGTCAGAATCCACATTTTGTGGATCCTTGATAGAAAATTTGGTGTACATCACTGTCTGTTGACAATACTATCACTTAAACCGTTCAGACGCTTTTCTCTAAAATTGCCGTCCGCCAATCGATCTGGCCGAGACATGCGATGGATATTTTGATTTTTGAGGGCATTTACTTGAAGCTTCATCCACATTTGCAAAATTTACTCATAAAAGGCTCCGAATTTTTAGATTAAACTTTGTCAGATTGAACAAAGAACTCTTAAGGAAATTGTGCGTGTCCGCGGTGCGTTTAAGACGCCGCATTTTGTCTATTAGTCATCGAAGTAGACATGGAACACACTAAGAAAAGCATGACGGTGCTTAGCTCGCAGTTATCAAGATAGCTAAAAGTCAGCAGCTCGAAGCCATAAATCAATACTACACAACGCGCTCTCAGAACATGCGGCAACGGGTCTTCATCTGCCATCCCTCATATGTATGCGGTCTTTAGCCGTCCACCTGAGGGCGTTCAAAAGCTCCCCTGCGTTCACGAACTTTTGGCCTGTGTAAAACACATCGGGCGCACGCACATCGACGGACCTCCACCGAAGCGGAACTGCGCGGCTTGCCGAGGGTTGCTTGAAATTGTATAACACATCATCAGCAACACGGATGAGGCAGACTATGATTGTCGGTAGTATCATTCAAATTGTTATGGTGACCGTCTCATGTGCATTCTTTAGTAAACCTTTTTTAATGTGATAACCCGTGAACTTAATCCCTTCATGAATTCGAGCACAGCAGATACTACCTCCCCTTTTACCATACTGTGCGAGTGTAGTCTTCCACCTGATTCTTTGTCCCGTCTACCATAACAATGGCATTACCCTATGGACTAAAACAACTTTTAAGTATATTTTTATAAAAATTGCTTCGAAGATTGGTTGAAGAGGCAAGGTGAGTTGGATAGAGCGCAAACATACCCGATGTGTAGATTCGTCTTGGTAACCAAATCACTTTCAAGTGATGAGACGGAGAGAGTCGAAGATGAGAATTTTGTGATAGAGGCCATTAGAGAGTTTTGATCGAAATTTCGTTCTCAGCATGGCGCTACTATTAAAAGAGCTTCTGAGACTGTCACCTCTCATATGTAACAAGACGACAACAAACAAGTGACGTCATGTTGGCGAAGGTGGTGGTGGAAGGTTTAAAAATTGTAGGGTGAGGTATCTCCGTAACCAAAGACGATGTGCCAACCGCAGCGGTATCACTTTATCGTCGACACCTGTTTATAGGATCTAAAGTCTTGTGTCGTGAATATTCCACGGAGGAGGGGGAGTTGTACGATGATGTGCGGGAAGGGGAAAACTGCTAAGCATCGTCCTGAAAAACATGCAAAATTGATGTGCGAAAAATCTCGCCGATCTCGAAAGAGGGGGTTTTAAACAAGCACGAGAACTCGAGCGATTTTAGTTCGAAAATCTTCAACTGAACGAGGAAGTGCTTACCGATCCACAGGCCTTCATTGTAAATCAGTCTACGCCAATGGAAAACCGGTGGACCTTTAAACGCTGATTTTTTCTGATCACAAACAATTTCGATACGGCAACAAAACGTTACGTCTACGTGCTTCAACATCCACGGGATATCATCAACCTCAACACCGGCGCACCCATGAAAACGCCGAACACTACCTCTTTCAAGGAAAACTACTCGCCAGCGTCGCTGATCCCATCGACGAAAATGACTTCGTCATCCACAAAACACTACTGCGTCTTCTCGCTGAAACTAATGTTTCTCACTATTTGATGACAATGTATTTAATTTTTCTTAAAAAAATAAATTATATGTATTCCAGCAAATATTCTTATTAACACGCTACGTGACCGCCAGGAATGGACTCCACCTTCCACCCCCGTTCCTCTATTCGCCTAGACTCGTGCTCTCTGAAATAGCCTCGACGCACGTCTATTTTTTACGTTCTCGCCCTTCAGAACGTACTTCTAAAGAAGAGAAAGTTATGTAAGGCTGCGGATTGTCGGCAGAAAAACTGGGCCTTATTATCACAAAAGTGGATGAATCCAATTGCTAAATTCATAAAAATTAATCTAAAGCGGTGTAGTCAGGATCCATGTTCTGTAGGTTCTTGAAGGTAATTGAAGTAGATTGGCGGCAAAACGTCTGTAAACAATGCTAGCAGCTAAACCGCTCAGCCTGTTTTCTTCAGAATTGATATTCCCCCATCGATCTGGCTAACGTCGCGGCCCCTTGAAATTGATATTTTAATTTTGGCGCGTACTTTACATAAAGCCTCTGGGACATTTTCAAAACAACGGGGCCATCGTTTTTAATTAAATTTCGTTGTTGGATACTATAAAGGATGTTTAAGAAAATTATGCAAGTCTCGTCTTCATTAAATATTGATTTTTCAAAAATTGCAGAAATTAAATTTTTTCAGTCTCTTCCTACAACGAAAACATTAAAGAAAGGGTTTACCAATAATAAAATCTGTTCTATGATAGATTTTAAAGTGAAGTTAGGTACAACTTTTCAAACATTTTTATGTGACTACTTATTTTAGTTTAAACATTTTTTTTTTCTCAAACAGCTCCATCATTTTAGCTGAAATTTTGTTGTAGGATAGTCTAAAATTCGTTTAAGAAAATGGTGCAGATCTCATGTTTGTTGAAAAACCCTGATTTTTCAAAAAATTTAAAAATAGACCTCAAAGAAATATTTCTCATACCGTAATCTACAAGATGAGACATATTTGGACTTTCTATTAAATTTTTACTGTTTCGGTACTTAGCGATACTACCAGTGCCACCTAGATTTCAACCCTTGGTGAGGGTGACTTTTTTTACGCTTAGAAGCCTTAGATTCTTCTGTCATTACGCTTTCCGTGTACTCCGCGGTTTGCGCTAACTGACGAGGTTTACTTGCATCATTATTAATTCAAAATGCGCTCTCGCAGCAACACCTAGAAGTACTATTAAATAGCTGCTTGATGCCAATGATTGTTTCTTAAGGGTGTAATGAAAACGTTTTGCCGATTTCTACAAGTGTTGTGTGCGTAATTGTGAAGGAATGTGGGTGTACAGGGAAGAGTAAAGATTTGTCTTGTTAGTTTTGGTTTGTGTTTTACCTTTACCAGTATTTTCGTTATCAGCAGTGATTCGTGAAACTTTCAAGGCAACATGTTAAGTCACGTACCTTTCTCAAGAGTAAAGAGCTTTTTTTTTTATCACGGAAGTCAAATAATATTGAATAATTACTTCATATATTTTTAAGGGAGTATTGTGAATTGTTCCAAGAAATCTCTCGATAATATTCAACATCTCTTAAGTGAAAATTTATTTTCTACATCAATTGTTTGTTATTTGATATTGTATTATTAGTACAATGGTAGTTACCTTTATACATTTTTAAACAATAAATACGTTAACATGATTTATGGGAAACTCGAACAATTGAGACTATAATTATAGGGACTCTACTGTAATGATCTATTCGAAATAGTTCAAACCTAAAATGGAAAAAGGATAAGAGTACGTGGTTTAACATGTGAGAGTTCTCGCACAGGTACAAGGAGGTAGTAGAACTGGTGCTATGGACCAACACGAAGAACAAACTTTTTAAATTAACTAATGGAAAATAGCTTGAAATAAATTAACAACAAAAAACGCTCTAACCTACAATACTACGTGAAATAATTTTAAAAAGAAACCAAATTTAAAGTTATAGAAAGAATGTCATGCGACAACTGCCAACTATCACAAGTCAGACGCAACGATTTAAATGTTGTTGGCCTTATTTGGAAGTCTGTACTTCAATGCCCAGCTGTAAACTCGTAGTGTTAATAATATAGTTTGATATTGAACTTAAGATGTCGGTTTGCTAAGATATTCAATATGTAAAAATCGTTTCAGCAACATTCCCATGTACCAATGTGAAGCCTACTGAATTGTTCTAATGGTAACAAAATGGTATTGTATAATATTTCACTAAAAGGTGAAAATATTAGTTTTATTATTTTTGGCTCGGAATTGCTTTTCTTGACATAGGAAGAATGAGAACGCAGAAGAAAATAATCAAATACTTTTTAGTACATAAATAACTTTTCAATTTTGGCACCCCAGAAAGCTGGTGTCCTGCCCTTCCAAACACACTGCTCCTCACAACAAATCCAGGAAAGTTAAATAATATTGCAAAGAGTGGAGTTGTATTTGCCCGAACCTGTGTTTTCACATGGTTAACTTTGCTTTTTCAAGAGTAAAAACCTTGCATTGTTGTAGTTTTATGAAAGTTCTTCTAAGGCATTATTTATGGAACACTATTGCTTATTTCGAATTCATATTTCAACCTTTCATCTTTGCTGCTAACTTTGTATGTTAGTTAAAAAAGAAAGTAAACGAACGAAAACTATTATAAACATTTCTTTTAATTTCCAGCACATCATGCATACAAGCAAGGATAATTACACAAATAAAAGGAACATCCAGAAATAAGTAACATTCAATACATTCACATGAATGCATTCGAAACAGCGAATTCATTACCTTATACAAATGTTTAATTTTGCATCGTTTCAAACAATTTTTAAATATAATGTTAATCACTGATATCACAAAAGATGTAAGAATCATATTTGAAACATTTTCATTCAAAGAATTAGAACGTTTCGATTTCTTACCTCTTCTATAGTTTGTTTTTGGTTCCATCTACAATTCATTTTCTACATTTAGAAACTATATGGTTAGGTTTTATGCATTAATAACATATTCATTTCCTTTTCGGATTCGTAAAAACGTAGTATCTGACTAATAATTTCTTGGTCCTACGGAATTACATTCTTTAAAATTCAAAAATAAATAAATACTCAAAAAAAATAGACGTAAAGAAAGAACATAACGAATATCATAGCTTGAATTCGTGCGTAAATTATAATTTAATCATTAATTCCAAATATTTTGTTCTGACGCAACGGAAAAACTGGGGTTTGTAAGCGCAGTACAGAAATGACATATTAGGCAAAATTACTACAAGTGGGTCGAAATGTGGTGACCATGGAATCCAAATATATATATGTTTCACAAATATATAGGTATTGAATAATTTTTTGAAAGAAAAAAATAACAAACTTTTTTTTTTCTTCACTTTATTTGCGCTTGAACTTTATGCTAGTTCTAAAAATTTATTTCCTCAAAATCAGTTCTAAATTTTTTCTAAAATATTTTAGACAGGCAGAAGGGACACTTGAGGGAAAGGCGCAAGTCTAATTTTCGTTGAACTCTCTGCATTTTTGAAAATTGCAAAAACTTAACATATTGGCAACCAAAAAATGGAAGATAGAGATTTTAGTCTTAAACAAAAATCATTAAAAGATGTTGATTACATTAATTTGAAAAAAACTAGTAGTTTAAAATTAATGAAATATATGCAGGTGCCCCGCAAACTATGAGTCATAAGAAAAATTCTTGGAAAACAGGAATGGATCAAAAGGATATGAAAAACATTTAATTTAATATTAATTATAATTTACTATTGAAAATGCTAATATTAATTTGATTTTTACTTTATTCTACAATCGATATTCTCAATGTATTGATGTTGTTTCATTCATGTAATCTGCAATCCTTAATTGAAAGTATCCCAATTAGATTTTCTCTCATAGAAAATGTTTTAAATGTAATATGATGGAAAAATTGAAAAATTATGAACAAATTCTTATTACAATAATTTTATATTAACAACATATGCTATATTGGGCAAAAATGCAGCGATGGTTTTTTGAGAAGTTCATTGTTGAAAGGCGACATGATGGGAAAATATATAATAATGTGGTTTTATTTTCTTAATGTTAGAGTTACAATGTTCTCTCCTTTGAATAAAATGGTATAGTCAACTTTATTAAAGTTGAAAAGAATGTGTAAACAGATATGCAAAAGGTAATGATATCATTGTTTCGAATGCATGTTCAATTTATTCTGGACGTTCAAATAATGTGTGAAATTATTCTTGCTTGCCTGCATATTGTGCTGGAAACAATGCAAGTAGTGACAAATAATGCAAGAAAGTATGTGCTGTTTTAACACCACTAGTTTAGAAACATTCTCTGATTACATGACTCTGATTCTGATGACATTAATTGATTGTCTTTAAATAAAAAACAAATTCTTCTCATTTTAATGTTTTATATTAAGAATAAGAAATTAATAAGACGATAATTATAAAAAAATTAAGTTTTACATTGAAATTTTATAATTCTATGATGTAACCATTTTAATTATTAATTCATTCATTTTAAAATATGTAATAAACTTGAAAATGTTCTTACTTTTCCCAACAAGCAATCACTTCCCCTTCCCCCTCCCCAACATCCTATTCCTGACTCGAGGAATGAATCAAAATGACTTTATGTGCTTTCAGGAACAGTGGATTCTTTCTAGTGGAGTTCCTCAGAAATCGCGATGTATTCATGAACGTTTGAGTGTTCACTTAAGTTCTACTTTAAAGAGAGAGAAAGAAAGATGGGGGTAGCTTTTATGAAACTATGTAGGCTACACAATAACTTTTCTCTTATATCGAATGTCAAGTGTACAAAATTTCATTAAGGTTAGAATAAAACTGTATATTGATATTTTAGAAAACATTCTTTATATAACAGAAAATAATAATTTGCAAGTGAAGAAAAATTATGCCCAACAAAATACATGGTTGAACCAATCCATACTGATAGGAAAGAATTTTAATTGGTTTTCGTTAATAAGTTCAATAAACTTTATGTGAGATTTTAGAAAGAAGTTGTTTTTAAATCACTGACAGTCTGTTCAATATTTTTTCTAGAAAGGCTAGATATAATTTGTTATTTATGCATTAATTTATTGATATTATTTCATTTGTACATAATTGTGTTGAATATAAGTATTTTAAAACTTAGTTTAATTGTATAAGTAATGTTCACCAAATTCCATTATTATAATTCAGATAATATCAGCTTTCAAGATTTGCAAGACATGAGTACCTTCTTAAATCTGACCTAAAGTTTCTCTTTTGTTACACTACATAGTTGTGTTATATACTGTTTAAATTCACAATGCTATTATCAGTATTGTTTTTCAGAGTTTTTCCTGCTATGGAATAAGAAGTTAAGTACTTTACCTTGTGCCATAACCTCTCTCAGGAACATTTACGTAGACAGAACTGTAGGGCTTTAGATATTCAGTTGAAACTGCTGGAGCAAAACTGGCCATAACTGAATCAGGGAAGTGACTGCAATGAAGAGCAGCTGTAACCATTTGCTTTTCACAGCATTTTAATGTATGTTTTTTTCTATTTAAATTGATATAATGACTCACCTCGTCTCTTCTTTCAGAAACTTTGTTAATTCATTGTGAAGAGATTTTTTTTCATCTGCAGATCCATACTTGGATATTATATCTTTAAATTGTTCAATTCCTGCTGTAACTTTTGCAAAAGGAGTGTCTATGAAACTGTTGCTAATGCCTAGGTATTCATCAGAAAGACATTCTGGCTTTGGTGCTTCTCCGGCGTTACAGTATTTATGTACATTGATGCTTTCAGGACTGTAAGTTTGAGGAAAAATATTTTATTGTATGAAGACTACAAGACAAAGCTAAATACCTTAAAAAATTTAGATTTACAAATCAGACCAAATGTCATTCACATTAGAAAAAGAAAATTCTACATGTTTGAGTGAAGATGGTTGATGAGTTTAGTTAAATAACACAATAACGCATGAATAGAAAGAACAATTATTATCCAAATCTTCATAAAAATGGTTACGGTATTCAAATTTATTTTATTTTCATTACTTTAATAATTCATATGCTCTTATTAATTGCATATTGCATTTTGCAGTTTCTTATTTTCAACCTCATCTATTTATTTACTGAAAAACGATGAGCCATTATCTTCAATTGCCATAAAGCATCCAAAATGAAAACATTAATATGTTTCCAGAAATAATTTATATAGAAGTATGAAAGCCATCCAAGTATTGATCAGCCACAAGAAATGGGATAAGAAAAACATACATTTTTTGTAATACACTTATTCTTCTTGATTTTTGAAATCCATACTCCCTTTCTTAACTCGACTGTAGGCCTTTATGTAAGTTAAAAGAGGTAACATGCACCCTCTTTCTTCGAATCGATTTTGGAAATTGGAATAATGTGTGCCAGTGACTGTTATATTATTAACAGTCTACATTTTTTTTTTTAAATGCTTGACCTGATGACAGTCTGTTTTATAGTTGAAGTAAGAACTATACAACAACAATGGCTTTTCTGTATAGATACGTCTGTTCGGAGTAATATATACATAGTATAAGGAAAGTCATGTAATGCTGCCCGAAAAAACGGCGTATTTTCGACAGAAAAGAAAATTCATTGAACAACAGTACCGCCTATACTAGGAGTATGATTTTTTTCAAACTCAATAAACTCCTGTTGGCCTCAGTCAAAACCCTGCGAATTTGAAAAACATTCATTAATTTTTGGGGGTACTTTACAAGTCCCACGGACATTTTCAAAATTTTCTCAAAAATGGCTTCAAATGTTTTCTTTAAATTTCTTCTAAGAATATAGTAAATTACACTTATAAAGGTGGCACATGTCCTATTTTCATGAATAACTTTGAATTTTCGATAATTGAACAATTTTAATTCTTTTGCGGCGGCTTCCTACAACTACAAATTTGAAGATAAAAAATGTTTCTTTCTAATAAAATTTGTTCTTCATAGTGAGTTCTTTCATTAAGGTCACGTATATTTTGTGAAAATCTTCGTAGTTTTCGCGTAATATTGCGGGCAATTTGTGCAATTTTAAAAAATGACAAAAACAAGATTTTCTGAAAAAACGGCTCCAATTTTTTCTTCAAACTTTGGTAAGATTAGTACAAAATACACTCTACATGATGACACTATCCCCATATTGCTCTATTCTTTATTTCTTTGTCAAAAATTACAAAAATGTCCTTTTTTAAACTTGTTTTTCACGCCGTTAATGGCGAAATGATTATATTTACTCACAATGCTCAAACGCCATTTTCTCAAAAACGGCCCCTAATTTTTAATTACACAAATATAACTTTTTGAAAGATATCTCACGCCGTTAATATGGTTAATAAGCTCATTTCCAGCAATTTGTAAACACTATTGTCTTAAAATAATATTTCCGTTCTACTTTTATGAAACCGACAAATACGGAAATGTCAAAAAGATGTACTTTGGGCGGCGATAGACGGCAGCTGGCAAGAGAATGCGGCAAGACTGAATAGCTAGCTGAGATCAAAGGAAATAGAAAACTAATACAGGAAAGTGAGTGTCATTCTGCCGCACCACTAGTTAGTTTTATTTTTATGTAGTAGTGTTAATATGTGACTGATTTTGGTCAAGGATTCTTACTCAATCTCAATGGTGAGGAAATTGAAAGGACGATATTGATGACTGTTCTTTGCAATTGTACTGAGGTATGATGCCCCACATTGTTTGCTTTTCACAAACTCTGACACAAGACTTCCACGACCAAGAAGTTCTTGTGGATGTTCACCTATGTGCATGATATTTAGAAGAGCAGCTATTCGTCCTCGAGTTGAGAGAGCCAACCAAGAACCACCTTCTTTTCCAGGTTCTAAATCTCTGCCTGTGTAAATAGCAAAAATTGTAAATTTCAGACAAAGCTTTAGATTTAACAATAATAATTCTATTTTATGTGAACTTACCACCAATGACTGTTTTATCTTCTTCCCAATAATGTGCAGATTTAGCTGGTCGCTTGTAGATTTCATCTCGATTTGCAGCTAATATCAGACGAAAATTACCAGCTGAAGGCTTTGGATTTATGTAAAGGAATAAAATACACATACCCAAAGCGAAACCTAAGGGAACAAATTAAATTTAAGATGAATAAGTAAGGATGTATTTGCATGTCCTCTAAAATTTGTAAGCAGCGTATAGAATAAAAAACAAATTAATAAGTTCAAGTTTTATTTCAGGGATACTAGTTGTTAAGATGAATATGCCCTTCAAATTTCATTGATCTGAAAGCAAGTGGCTCCAGGAAAAAATGCCTGTAATATTAACTTATTTATAGGATAAAGTTTTTAAGTACAGTACATGTATAGGTTTAAAATATTGTTGAAAATAGCAAGGAATGAATCCTGCAAGGAATATGTTAACAAAGTAGAATGATTTGAGAATGATTTTATTCCAGTTTTGTTGTAAATCAAAATTGTAGTTTTATGGCTGTGTTAATGTTATTTCCTTTCTATTAGAACTCCAACTCTGAATTAATTCATTAATACTTCAAGGGCTTCTCTTGCTTTCCAGGGATCATCATTTAAAAAAAAAAGAAATATGTAAAGAAGCTCTAAGCTACTCAGAAAAGAAACAAATGTGATATAAAGGAAGGGGATGAAATAGACTTTTGCATTATGAAAATCCATTAAAATGGCCAAAATTAATATTGGGGAAAATATTAGGTCAAGGCATGGGCCACTGGGCAACCAGGAAGATAGAGTTTTTTCTTTCTCTATTTTTTCCCCCCCTTCTACTTGTTTGAACTAGTGCACGTTATCATATTAACAGTTCAAATAACCCACTACATTCCAAAAATGTCACTGTAATATGTGGAAACTATGGAATTGGCATGCGTCATTGGTTTAGGGAAAATTACGTATTCGTTTACCAAGATCTTGTAGGCGTGCGTTATTTGAGATGGTAGACAATGCTTTAATCGCAAATAAAGGATAAAAACAGTTTCGAGGGAGAAAAAATATTGGGCCTGTCCGGGATTTGAACCCGGGACCTCTCGCACCCGAAGCGAGAATCATACCCCTAGACCAACAGGCCAATGTGTTTTCTGGTGCAATTTTCAACGTATTTCTTGAAACGTAAATTTAAAAAATCTTTTTATTTATCTTTTCGTAATTGAAGAGTTACGGTTTCTTTCTTATCACTTACTATAAATAGACGTAGATTCTTGTTTCTTGAGAAAACCTTTTTAATAATTTGAGACGTTGCTGCAGTGCACGCTCAGTACGCACCTTGTACCTACGTTAGTGATGTCTTCAACTGAGAAAACTAAAATGGAATTGGAAAGTTTAGAAAAATGCTTGGAAGAGAACATACCAGAAAATTTGTTGCCAGATGTTCAAAGAATTTTGTATGGAAGAAACTTGCCGTATGTATTGCGGAACGCGGCTCATAGATTCGACTGACTCTTGTTTGAAGTTAAAAAGGCAATAAATGTACTAATGATAACTTGCTTTATTCTGCATGTCATTTCTTTTTAACTAATTGGATTTCGGTTTCAACACTATTTTATAATTTGATGTCCCCTTTTATACCATATATTTCTACATATATACATATAATTAGTTGATTACAATGATGTAATCATTTTGCTCAATGCTATCTAATCACATTAATCAGAGTGGAAAATGATATTAACATCAAAAAAGAATGTTGATTATAGGGATGGCACCTTAAACAAGATAATTTAAAATAAATCCCTAGCTAAACAGATAATTAACATTCTCAATTATTTCATCTGTCAACTATATTTATAATTTTACAGAATCCTAGAAATCCATCCAGATGCAAAAATCTTGTCCAGTCATCATAACTTTGATATTCAAGGTTACAGATTTAATGCTGCTTCAGAACAGTTACGTGCTCCAAGGTGTGTCCTTGTAGTGCCTAGAACATGATAAATCTTTCCTTTACTGAAAATAAGTGTAGGGCTAGATAATTGTTGAGGAAAGAACTTTACTAATCTTTGATTTTTATTTGTTCAGAATTGTTCGTGTTGGAATAATTCAGAATAAAATTATATTACCAACAACTGCTCGATTAGAAGCTCAAAGAGATAAATTACATGAGCTTATTTCTCATATCGCAGAAGCTGCTTTTCACAATGGTGTCAATATTCTCTGTATGCAAGAAGCTTGGCGTAAGCTTTGATATTATTTTATCTTTGACATTGCTGTATATAGGTACTCTTGATAATGTTATGATAATTCCTTGCTTCGTGATGTAGCAATGCCGTTTGCTTTCTGTACTCGTGAAAAGCAACCGTGGTGTGAATTTGCAGAGCGAGCCGAGGATGGACCAACAACAAAATTTATACAGCAGGTGAAAATGTATTTATTTATTTAATATGGACCATTAAAGCCCAAAATAAAAAAAAACTATAGAATGCAAAACTCAGTGAAACATAAATACATTTTAAAATGCAATGCAAGTCCAACATCATAGTAATGTGCAACAAATCACCTAACATTTCATTGAAATTTGAATTACAAGAGTTTAACGAGCTTTTCAGTCATGATCACCTCACAAAATCAAGTGCACAATCAATACCTGACCTGTGCATTGCCTGTAAAGAATAATTCGCTGATTTTAAATGATGTTTATTAGAAAAAGGAACAAATTTTTTTTGTAGTATTAATTTTAAACTACAATTTATTAGGCAACGTGACCAATCAATATCACCTTTAAAAGTTTAATTAGACATTTTATAATAGACTAGCCTACTCATATATTTTTCTAATGATTGTAACAAGGTTACATTAGTCACTAAATTCTGTTATATTTATGATTTTCAAGTGAATCTGGTAATTCCGACTCACAATGCCAACATTCTGAAGAATGTATATTGAACTTTTTATATAAGATGGTAAGTTAGGAGATGAGACAATAGATGCATACATCAAACAAGACCTGAGGACAAAAAAGTTTTTTCTAGTCTTGAAAGGATTTTATTTCTTCACAAGTTTTCTTTATAACAACCAACAATTGTATTGATTTGTTGATAATCACATCAGTGTGTTTCAGGGACAGATTCAGCTGATGAGTGGGGATGGGGGGCATCATAGATTTTTCTTAAATAATAAACGTATTTGTTATTATGTTATATATTGTTTTTTTAGTGTATATACTAACATATACAATATTATTTTTTTTTTACAATTATATGATTCTAACAAATATTTAAATCAGTTTTGCCTTCACTTTTCCCATTTTAATATTTTCTCTAGGCCTTTTGGGGGGGGGGGGTGACCATGGCCCTCATGCCCCTCCCAAATCCACCACTGGTATGCTTTTTAACTCCATTTCAATATTAAAAATTATTTCAAGATTTTTTATAGAGTTTACAAGATCAAATAATTCATTTAAAGCATATGTATTTAATTAAAAATTTTAGTTAAAAATAATAATGACGTTTAGCTATTTATATTATTGAATGAAGAATTTGAAAAACGTTACATGTTTACTTTTTCCGAAATTTGCAAAAAATAGGTACATATATTAAGGCTCATCCATTGAGAAAAAATCTAAGTGTCCTCAGATTGTAGACTATCTCTATTGCATTGCTTGTTTTTGACTGAGCTTGCAGCTTTATATAAAAATCATGTGGCAAATCTTTGTGGCAGAGACCCCGTAGAGAAATACTCTATTATCTAGAGTTTTTATCTGAAAATATTCAGTAAAAATTTGATCAAAGGTTGGGTTAGCTTCATTTACTTGCTGCTGATGTAAATAATTATCATTATAAATAAATTATCTGAAAGATGATGCCAAAAAGACAGCAGTATGCAATATTATTGTGTCACAAAAAGAACAAAAATGCTTCTGTAAATTAATATTTTTTGCACAGCAATTCTTGAGAACAATATGTGGTGGCTTTAGCTTCCATGCAAAATATTGAGCTATGTTCAATTTCAATCTAGTGACAATTTTCTTTCACCAAATATATAATTTGCTGAAAGAAAATTGTCACTAGATTGAAATTGAACATAGCTCAAACAGCAAAATTGCAAAATTAATTCACCATAAAGATGTTAGACACAAGGGACCAAAATAAGTTTGAATCTTTCTGCTTAAATTCACAAATGAGGGGGGGGGGAGAGAGAGAGAGATTATCCTGCAAATTGTGTTCATTGCTTTAAATTGTTAAACCTGGGAAACACGAGAAACATTTCTTTAAAAATAAAATTTGTATGTTTAATTAATTGTGATCTATTTTCCCCGTAACTGTGAAACTAATCAAGTAATTAATTATTTATTCCAAACAATTTTAATTTCATAATTAGTAATTTATGATTAATAAAATTAAAGGCTAAGGTCTGTTTGAATACCATCTATGTGAGTTTTAAATATGTTGAGTATAAGACATCAGATAAGATCCAATGTTGCTACCTGGGAAGAAACATGTTGTATTGACCAAACATTGAATGATTCAGGGTAATTTTGTAGTTACTATTAATGAACAATTTTGGAATCACATTAATAATTGATATCACACCATTCTTGATGTCACTTTCTTACCATGAGTCAAATTAATGTATTGGTGTTGTGGGAACTGAAATCAGAAATTCTTTTGTTGGGATATTTTTTAAAAGGTTTCTATGAATATTTAACCCTACAGTTGTGAATCAAAATACATAATATTTGGTAATTCTTTACAAGATCTGTTGGAATTTATATAGTACTTTCAAAATAATTTAGGTTCATTGATTAGTTTTTTTATATCAACACAATATAATTAAAATCTGTCTGCATTTATTATTTGTTTTGTTGGCTCTAATTTAAAAATTGTAAGGTAATGGGAAATATCTTGGAAGTATGGCATAAAGAAGACAAATTCTTAAAACACCATTGTTTTGTTTTTTATGAAGTATTCATTTGCACTTTAATTGTAATGCATTTCTTGACTAACACCAAACATCCTTCTTACCAAAAAACACCAAAAATAGACATTTCTTTATACATAGCCATTAAAAAGCATCAAGACTTGTGAAGGTCATGTATCTGACATTACAGACATCACTCTGTTTTTAAGAATTGTTTCTTCTTTGTGAACTGCTCTGAAGGTATTTCTCATTATTTAAGAATTGAGAAAGAGTGCTAGCACCTGTGAAAATAATAAATAATTTGATGGGAACAAAATTAATCTTTACTCTACATGTAATATAATTTTGAAAATATCTGAGATGTCTTTAGTTCTTTTCTATGTCATGAAGGAAGGACTTTCATAGTATCATTTTGTGAAAATAAGACTGTATACAATGATTCAAATAATTATAAAATTCAGAAATACAATACTGACAACAAAAATAATTGTTTTTAATGTAATAAATATATTGTTGGTGCACAAGAAAAGTAATGTACTTCAAAAATTGTCAGTTTCAGGAGAGCTGTTTTAATGTAGCAGACCCTTTTTTGTAGGTGAACTGTTTTACTCTATATACTGTCTGTCTTTTGAACCATCTGTATGAAATATTCGGTAGAAAAAATCAACTTTTTTCTGAAGATATTCCTTAACGTAAATAAAAATGAGTTATTTTGGAGATGTTTACTTTTTTGTTTCATATTATGTTTGTAAGAAAATGATATGTGTTTCAAAATTAACTTGTATAATTTTTCCACTTATAGAAACATTAAAGGTTTGTTTTTATAACAGCTATGCCGAAGATTCAATATGGTTATAGTATCACCTATTCTTGAGCGTGATGAAAGACACAGTGATGTTCTATGGAACACTGCGGTTGTTATTGACAATACTGGTCGCATTTTAGGTAAGCATCGCAAGAATCACATACCAAGAGTAGGTGATTTCAATGAATCTACATATTATAGTGAAGGAAACACAGGGCACCCTGTCTTTGAGGTAGGCCTTCAATTGTTCATCTTTATTGTTGTAGTCTGTAAAGTTGCTTATTTTATGAGTATTTAGAATTTTCTTCTTGATAGTTGTATTTCTATTGCATCATTTCTTTCTCCTACAGACAGCATTTGGTCGAATTGCAGTTAATATTTGCTATGGCAGACATCATCCTCTGAATTGGCTGATGTTTGGATTAAATGGAGCAGAAATCGTATTTAATCCATCGGCCACTGTTGGTGCACTCAGGTGTGGCAAAGAAATATTTTTTCAATATTGAGTTAATCTACATGCATATGTGGTAGTGAACTTATTGTCACAAATTTTATGTTTCTATGGAATAATATTATTTAATATAAACAATACATTTTGATTTTGCTGTTTTGTTTATATTGTCAGAATTGATGAAAATAGGTACAGATTTTATGGAATCTTGAAATGAAAACTTAGAGGTCGTTTATAAATTACTCATGGCTAAAGAGGAGGGAGGGGTTTTTGAGGTAGTGTTACACTGTGTTACATAGGGGAAAGGGGATTAAAAACAAAAATAAGTCATTAGATTTAAATTGTTTCAATAAATAAAAATATTTTTTCATCCACTTGCATTGACTCTCTAAGATTGTGAAGAAAATACTCACAACTGTAATGTGGTATATTTTGGAATCCATTTAAATTGGCGCAGTAGGCTCTTGTTCATGCATTATCCACTATGGCATTTGATGTGCATGGCATGTGAACAACAATTTTCTGACCTATTCGTTCTTCTTTCATTCACAACTTGCCCCAAACTTATTGTTAGGTGCAGTCAGTATCACCAACTCACAATTTCTCCTTTAATTTTCATTAATTTTAATATACAACACAAGTAATATGAATACAAATTGTTTTTACTGTGCTATAATTTATTTCACTTCTTGTATTTATAAGGGGACGGGTGTTGTTGCTAGTATTACTCATTTATTTGGGCAGGGTGTTCAAGAGTGCCTTACAGGGGGGGGGGGGGGCTATTTAAAATACTCTAATTTGTGTTATTGTAATTTCTGAATGGTTCCTTTGTATAAAAGATTTTCGTTGTGCGAATAAATAATTCACAAGGGAATTTCCTGAAGGGGGTAATCAATAATTCAGTAATTAGAATAATTTTGCAAAGAATGTCAATTGTTCATCTTTTGCTAAAATGCATTTTGAAGTGAAATTTTGTATCAACAAAGAATTCGAACTTCACTAAATTCTTTTGATACATATTTGTATGTAACAGTAGATTGCTCCAGTGCTCTGTTAAAGGTGGGGATACCATAAAAACCTATTTAAATGTTTTAGATTTTTCATATTTAATAACTAATGTGCATATTTAACTTCATTTCAAGTGAACCTTTATGGGGCATTGAAGCTCGCAATGCTGCCATCGCAAATGGTTATTTCACTTGTGCCATTAACCGAGTGGGCACAGAAGTATTTCCTAATGAGTTCACATCTGGAGATGGAAAACAAGCTCATAAGGAATTTGGTCATTTCTATGGATCTAGTTATATTGCGGCACCTGATGGAAGCCGGACTCCAGTAAGCTTAGTATAATTTTGTATAGATAGCTATTCAGTTGTGCAAACTCATGACTACTAATTGCATGTACATGAAAGTTAATTTTTTTTAAATCAGCTTGCATGTTTGAAAAAAGTTATTTTCAATTTCTAGGGCCTGTCTCGTACCAAGAATGGTCTTCTAGTTGCTGAATTAGATTTAAATCTTTGTAGGCAAGTGAAAGATATGTGGGGATTTCAGGTATGCCTTTTGTTTTTGTATCTTTTTTGTATATCAGATCAATTATGTGAAAATAATTAGTTATTATATTTGTCTATTTAATGAATGTATCACAAGAATTACTCCAGAGTTGGCTTATTTATTTTTATTCTTTCTAATTTATTCTTAGTATTTCTTTACTTTCATTTTTCTAGTAAAATGATTTGTACATTATTTTAAAACAACATGTATTGTATGAAATTATCTGATTTCAATAATAATTTCCACTTTAATTTTCTACACAAAAAATATTCAGGTTGATTCAAAAATAGTTTTACAAACTTCGGATATGGATTCCTCACACAAAGAGAAGTGAATTTGGAAGTTCACAGTGCCCGTTCTTTTCTCACAAAAAGTTTCATTCCCCAAAAAGGAGTTGGTTCTCATCAGTGTGAACAAATGTGTGAGCAAGTCAATCATCATTTCTCTTATGAACAGGTCCCTTTAATATTTTAGACAGCAGACAATGTTTTCAGTTGTTTCATAACAATTTAAATTTCATCTTACATCTACGTTTTCTCAGTCTACTACAGAACTCTCTCTTCAACGGAACACCTTCTGATACAGCCATGCAGCCTCGTGTAAGTCTCTATAGCAACAGATTGCCATCTACATAGAATCCAATGAGTCAAGGCCTTCTATGAAAGATTGCATAAATGGATGAAGTTGTGGGGTTGAACCTGAAAGTGCGTTGATCGTAAACATTCATTAATAAATGAATAACGAGGAAATGAAGGATTGTGGGGCACAAATTCATGAAAACTTTTTGTCTTCTTTTTGTGTAAGAAATCCATGCCCAAAGTTTGTGAAATGCGTGTGTCTGTGTATGTGCAGTGTAATTTGAATGTATGCAATCTATTTTCTCCCAACATTTATGTGCGTGACTTAATTTTGTGAACATTAATATTTTTTTAAAAGTTTTTTATTTTAACATTCTCACATTCTTGGCATTATATGATTACTCAATATCTCTTTTATCTTCTATAACAATGAATTTTAAGTTTTTTACATTGTGAACCTAATAGATGAAATCCACACTTCTACTTCAGGAGATTTATAGAACAAATATTGAGCAATTTGATGATTAAATCATCCTAAAAATGATCACTTTCATAATAATAACATAATTCTCATCACCACTGAGCCCAATAACTTTCTGGGAAGAGAATTTCTTGCCCCGATCAAAGCTCGAGGTGGAAGGAGCTGCTGTTTTGTGGAAACAATTTTTTTGCGTTACACATTATCTTCATATTACTGATTGTATATGTGCATAAACTGATGTAAATGAAAATATTGAAATACTATTACTTACACGTCATATCTCTATTGTCCGAAATATTGTGGATATCTGAATTATTCTGCATAAAAAAGAAAAACTTAGTATGACGTACAGTATAAAACATTATAATGCTCTGAAATCTCTTGAATTTAAGTTGGTGTCATGGGTAGAGGGTTTACCTGGAAATATAGAATATTACTTTTATTTCCAACCGTAGATATAGAGGAGAGAGGAGGGTTTAAGGTGGAAGGAAATGCAAGCTGCATGTGGGTTTTACTGTAATATTACTACCTTAATATACGTTAAGCAAAATTTATGACTTAATAGAAAAATTGATTTTTTTTCTGATGGTGCAGGTAGAGCAGGCTGAAAATAATCCTTTAATTCTAAGTCTATCTCAAATTGTAGTGAATATTGTTTTTTTAAATATTCATAATTAAATGTGTTTATAAAAACGTTTTTTTGTTTTTAGATGACTCAGCGGCTTGATCTGTATTCCTACTCACTATCAAGAGCTGCAGAATTAGACTTTGAACCACAAATTGTTCGTTGAGAATACATTGTTTTGTGATCAAATTCTATGAAAGGGAAGCTTAGAATTGATGAAAAAGTGGAAGTTTTTTGTAGTAAATGGTAAGAGACTGATTGAAAAGAATATTTTTGACTACACAACGACATTAAAAAAAATCAGTTCGTATATTTTTCATTTTATTCCATTAAATATTGATTTTATATGCTATTGGTTTCATTTGTATTTCATTTTCTTTTAATTTTATATATGGCTGTATAAATTGATTTTAATTCAGCATACTATCTTATATTGTGCCAAATACTCATATTACATGTGTTTGTTTTTGTGAGCTCTGGAATTCTTACCCCTACCCAAAATTAGTTGAAATATGAATAAAAGACAGCTATGAGTATTGTTGATATCTGTAAACAATACGTTTTCCCATGTAATAGAAACAATTTATATTGATAATTGAGCTACAGATTTGACAAAATAGTCCTGCCATAGAAATAACCAAATCATAAAATAACCACTGCCCTTGCATTAGCAAAATGAATCAACTCATGAATCGTGTGGGTGGATGATATTGGTTATGGTATTATAAGATTTTTTAAAAGAAATCTTTTGTCAAACAATTTTCAATGACTAGGAAATATATTTGAGGTCATCTGGTTGGTTTTCTGTGAAATTTATAAGCTTTTTATGAAATTATTATTATCAAAATGAAAATATATTATGATTTGATAGACATTTGATTGCGGTTTATGTAAAGATTGTTGGTGTCTAGTTCTGAAATCTGTTGGTTATGGTATTATAAAATATTTCCTTGTGGTATGGCTAGAAATATAGCATCTTATTTTGGTCTGTCATGAATACTTACAATTTTAATGAACTTTATGTAAGATATTTAATGGCAAGGGGATGTATTACTGTATTATAAGATGTGGTTTGGTACATTGGCATTATAATCATGCAGAATATTTTATATTTGGGAATATTTTATTTTAAAACATTGTATTGTGTGAATGTAAAGAAATATATTGATTGAAAGTTTGCAGATTTTTTTCTTGTATACATTTACTTTCTTAAGTGAAATACAAATTTTCTTTTTTTCATGTAATTGTGCTTTATGTAATAGGTGTTGGTGACTGGTTCGGAAATAGGTAAAAACGTAATAAAAACTGAGGAACTAAAATGAAGATGCTCCTGGGTTCCGATACCAATATCTTAAATATTTGTTAAGATTATACCATGAAGTCTGTGAGACTAAGTTTTTGTATTATTTGTATATTAGAATTTAATATGGAGTGTTTCTGTAAGATTTGTTAATTTTGGTTTGTACACCCAATGAATACTAAGAGCAGGTAATGTTGAAATCACTGTATACACGATGTTACTTTAGGCCAGCATTATCGAACATGTAGATCATTATATACACATATTAACACATTCATCCATTGGCAATATGCTGTGATTGTTAATAATTTTGTTGTGTAGCAAGTTGAATCCAGGTTGAATCCATTGGATTGGTTGACAACGAACAAGTAACGGCGACCTCCCGATAGAAAACAAAAGAATGTGCAGGACGAACTTTTTGGCGCGAAACGGTACTGTAAATAGTGATGGCCAGACTGGCGAGACAGGCAGTGTGTGATTACAAGTGATTGACGTTTCTTTCTTGCGTGTGTTTGTTCCTGAATATAGTGTTATGAATTATCATCTTAAGGATTAAACCTTATTCGAAATGGACGCAAAATTTTTGTACGTTATATTGAAGTAAATTTCCGAAGTTTGTTAATTCTTGGTAGTACATTTTTGTTGGTAGAAGTTCAAGGGATATTCAAAACATTCGAAAATTTGAAGTCACATTGTCAAAAGGATTGGATTCTTTTAATAGGTAAGAACTATAATTAGGTGAACATTATTTTTTAGTGAAATGTTTGTAATTTTAGTGATGTATAAGATGGAAAGAAATGTCATTCATTGTCAGTCCGTCAGATTCAAGACCGTCGATAAAAGTGTTCTTATTTTAAAACTGGATTTCTGACTCCAAATACGGCTTTTCTCTAATTCTTACCCATTATAGAAAGTGGTTTGGTTGCCACACACTTAATAACTCTTTTCTTAATATTACTAGAACAAATGAGAAATATAATATATTTTATTGCCAAACAATACACAATCTAAGATATTATTGCACGTTTGCACAATATTCAATTCTTACGAGTAACAAGATCAAATTTCATAAATATTGCAAATGAGCTGATGTGTAGTTATGGATATGCCATCACAAGCTATCTACTAGCATTTCTTCAGCCTCAAAGTAGAAATAGCGGAGAGAATTAATGAAGCTTTTTTCTTTAAATTTGTGACATGGGACTTAAAAAGTATCCTTAAAACAAAATTCAGATAATATTAAAGAAACTGTATTACTGAGTAGAAGTATATTTTTGATCAATTAATTAGCAAAGCGGTTCGGGGATACGCCACACTTGTTTAAATTGTGATGATTTCGGTAGAAATAATGAATAGTCTTTCACGAACCGCTTATGTGCTGAAGAGAATTCAGCTAATTTAGGTTATCCTCATTTAATGCAATTTTGAATTTATATGACTGCGTCGCTCTGTTAAAAGAGGAGAAATGCGAAGTTACATCAAGAACGTTTATGTTATATTTGTACTGGGGCATGCCAGTCGTATCGTTTCTTGCGGAGGGCCACTCGGTTTCACTGAAGTAAGACTCGCGCTAGGTGTAAGCTACGCCCTCGCTTTATTAGCAGCAGGGATCGTCAGGACGGCGTGACCGAGCCGCTGAGGTTCTGTGGAGCTGCTACTTGGGGCGCTAGCGTCGCAGTGTCATATTCGTCGTCGTCCTGTAATACGCCGCTAGGGACGCGCGCGCCAAGCGGAGGCATCGTAGGTGCAATCTTTTCATCCCAATTCCGCCAGCACCGAGTTGAGATCCTCTTGCATCGTAATGGAGAGCTCTTTCTGTTTGAAGAGGTCATCCTTTACCTTCTCGACGTTCGCTTTGAGCAAGTAGTTGCCCTTCTTGAGGGCTGCCAGGATGTTCTCGTGTCGCTTCGCCCTGTCGGTGAAGTTTTTCTTCCGGTCGTCGAAGGGCGCGTCCGCCGGCAGCTCTCCCTCGCTCTCTTCGTCCTCCGACTCCTCGGTGGAGGATTCCTCCTCGCTTTCTTCCTCCTCCTCCTCTTCGGCCTCTTCCTCCTCCTCTTCCTCCTCGTCTTCGTCGTCGTCCTCCTTGAGGAGCTTGGCCATCTTGTCCACTTCCTTCTGCAGTTTCTTGTACTTCTTGCGCTCGTCTCGCAGCGCCTTCGTCTGGTTGCGCAGCGCCAGGCGGAGGGCGCGCCGCTCCTTGCGCACCGTGTCCTGCTTCTCCTTCAGCGTGCGCACCTGCAACACCAGCCCACATTATCTCAAGCAGAATTCTACGAAATAGCTCTTGTGCACCCTTGTTTTACGTTTATTTATTTTTACTTTCTCGTACATGTACTTCACTTACATACATAGTATAGACACATGCATGTGTAATGTGGATAATCAATTTCTAAATTTCAAAGGAATTTGGCTTTGAAATCCTTTGATACCGATAACGATTTTTCTGGTCTTTTTACTTCCTCGTCCTTACTAACGTAAAAGAGAAAGTTTTGTAATCTTGGGACAGAAAGCGGCGAATTTTCGACTCAAAAACTCTTATTGCAAGGCCCTGATAACGAAAAAGGGGATAAATCCAGTTGCTAATATGAAAAATAATTCCTCTAACTCGTGGTGTTGCCAGAATCCATGTTTTGTGCGTCCTTGATACCGAAAAATCGACTGACGGCAAAACGTCTCTGTCCGTTTATACTCAACTCTAGCGCCTCTCCAAACCATTCAGCCAATTTCCTCAAAATTGATATGCTCCAATCGATCTGCCTGATGTCAAGTCCCCTGGATTTGGAAACCGATATTTCAATTTTGGGGGATACTTTACATGGAGCCCCTGGGTCATTTTCAAAATTTCCAAAAACATGGCTTCAATTTTTTTGATTAAACTTTGTCCTTGGATAGAATAATGAACGTTTAAGCGAATGGTGCATGTCTCAATTTCGTTAAAATCCCTGATTTGTCGAAAATTACAAAACTTCAATTTTTTTCGGCGCCTTCCTACAACTATAATATTGAAGATAGAGATTTTTTCCTAAAAAATATCCTTGTCTTAAAGACATTTTGAAAAAAAGGTCACGTTAAACGTTTGGAGAATATGAATAGTTTTCGTGTTATTTTGCCCGAAATATAGGCAATTCTCAGAAACCGCTAAAATTTTTTAATGTGCTTTAAATTGCTTTAATTTGCTTTAAAAAATGCTTTAAATTTTCTCCTAAAATTTCCGCATTTCCAGAAACAAGTTTTCTAGTTGGCATACGTATACGCAGTGACGAAGTAAAATCACATTTTATGACTCTCTGATACCGCAAATATATTTTTTCTTACTCTTAAATGAAGTAAATTACTTTCTCTAATACAGAGTGTAGTCAGAATTTCCATTTTATGGTTCCATGATGTCGAAAACGTTTGTTTTACTTGCTGGCATACTTCTTACGTATTACAGAGAAAGTGTTAATGTAGCGACAATAAAGCTACTGTTGGACAGAAAAACTGCGGTCGTGATACCGAAAATGTAGATAATTCTTGCTCATGTAGTTACTTCCGCGAACTCTCCACGTACTTAGAATACACGTTTTGTCACTTCTTGATAGCAAAAAAATTGGCAGACGCTGAATGCTTGTCTCTCTGTGCAACCCTAGAGCCTCAACCGTTCAGACGATTTTCTCCAAAATTGATACTCACTCACCCATCTGATCAAAATCAAAATATCCGTTTGAAACTCAAGTTCGTTTAACTGGATTGGGGAGTGCCAGTTTTGAAGGAAGAAAGGAAGGCTGAACTGCTTAGGCGTAAGCGTTGACCATAGCAGTAGTTTTTCCGACAACCGATTTTTCGGTATCAAGAATCCACAAAATATGCGTTTTGACTACACTTGTTAGTGGCAGTAATTGCGCAAAAAATCGTTTTTCTAAAAAAAAAATAATTAAAAAGTACAGGGTCTTATTTAAAGAAAAAATGGTGCGTTTTTTTGAGAAAAAATAGTTTTAAAAATTAAAAATTTGCTTACATTTCGCGCAAAATTACATAACAAGTACTTATATTTTCGATAAATTGTGTACTACCTTATTTCTAGATCTGACTTAAAAGAACAGATTTTATTAAGAAAAATATTTCAAGTCGCCGAAAAAATAAACTTTTGTAATTTTCGAACAAGTGCGAGAAAGTAAAAAATATGTTTATGTAATTTTTAGAAATTTTAAAAAACTAATCGAAATTATGTTTGTTATCCCTATACATTATTTGAGTAATATTCTTGAGTTTGCTTATGTGTGCTGTTGTGCGGATGTGTGAGATCCGTCACTCGCGGCTAGTCCATTTCCCATGCACCAACCGAGACGTATGAAGTGTCACGACGCGTCTCGGTTTCCTGAAGGGGAACTGGTCATGTGTTTTCGAATCCGGCCAGAAGATTCAAAGAACGTATTTTTTCGTGTTTTGGCGCTACGATCTTAGTGACAATGCCAGGAATTAAACCAATTCCTGCTAAATCGATTTATGTTGGAAGAATTGATTAAACACCAGTAACCAAAGGCATTTTTTTCTCAATACGTCATATTTTTTTCACGACGTTTGCAACATTGATGTTGACATCTTTAACTGAACAATTGAATTACCAAGTTAATAGCATCGCAGACTGATTTCAATTTAGATTCAAATTAATTTATTTTTAAAAAACAATTTGCGAAACGTATGAACAGTATGAATCGGAGAAATCCAAACTGTGAGTAAAGGCTCATTCACAATGCAAACATAAACATAAGCATGGCGTTAACATAAAATTCAGGACTACGTCCATAAGCGGACTCATTCACAATGCGTTCGCATAAGTATAGTACGTATGACGTTGACTTAAAAGCTTCAAGCTTCTGTGCTTATTCTTAAGTTAGACACGAGAAATGAAGCAATCACAGAAAGGTAACTCAAAATCGAGAATCGAAATTGGAGTGAAGTCGATAGAAGAACTAACGCCATATGGGCCATGGATACAGTCAGTACCTTCTCAAATCCAACCAATAGTAAACCAGAATGTCTCACAGCCAATAGAAACTCGTATTTTGCTTATGTTTATGTTAGATATTGTAAATACTTCTGTCAATCATTAATGTTAATGTTTATGTCTATGCGCTATGTTTATGTTTAAGTTTGCATTGTGAATGGGCCTTAATGCTTGAGAATGAATGAACGTTATGTTCGACTTCTCACTTTCACGTTCTTGCATAAGTGTGCAAATACCGATTTTCAAATGAATGTGACCCACAACTTATGTTTATTAAACTTAACACCTTATTCACCATAAACATACAAAACAATCACTTTTCATGTTATATTTGCATGCAACTCTAGATTCGCATACAAAACTATTAATCGAGCAATTGCAGAAGTAGAAGTGAACACAAATGAAGCTGAGTTTGTAAAGTTTTAATCTCTTCAGAAATCAGGGGAGTAAACTATGGAAGTGTTAACCATATTCGGGGAAGAATCAAATGTAGTTGTAAAAGATATTGCGACATAATTTTCGGAACTAATTGGGAATGATCTGCATTTTTGCATTTAGCGTTTGTGCTAACGCAAATGTGTATTTTTGTGCTCATAAGCAAAACGCTTAAAAAGGTAACTACTAAAATTGAATTACTAGTTTCATCAAAACCTGCAAGTGTTTGTGACTGCGATTATAATTTTGAAATTGCAATATGACCAGCCCATATCCCGAATAGGGGTAACACTCAAGGCCATTGCCTGTTGGGAACTTTTTAGCGGAAATATAACATTATCAGCTACTACGGTCCATTGCTAGATACTGAAAGAATATATTTGAAGGAAGCTGGTCATTGTTCTAAAACAGACGTTTAAATGAAACTATGTACATTCTTGAAAATATATAGGAATTTCGCGTTATTTTGAATGAAATATTACAATTGCCTATACATTTTTGAATTAATTTTTTTATCGGATAGTGCAAAGAACGTTTATGTCAGAAAATGGTAGAGGTAGAGGAGGATTTATCGTAGAAATGTGTGATCGATAATTTTATTGTTTATGTATTGGATAATATTGTATTATTATTTTCTTGTCTCTTGATTTGTAAATAGCCTGAGGATGGAGTTAAGGATTACTTCGAAATGTGTAAATTAAATAAGATGTAGACTATAAAGACTGATATATCAATAAATTTTAGTTGTCTATAAACTGAATTAAGCGTTATGAATGAAAGTACGTTTATAAAAATGGTGTAGGTCCGATTTCCATTAAATTCCCAAAATTTTCGAAAATTGCAAGTTTGAAATTCTTTCGGCGTCTTCCTATAACTGTAATATTGAATATAGACTTTTTTCTTATGAATAAATCATGTTCTTCAAAACTAATTTAGTTAATGTTCAATTTTTTAAAATTATTAGACGTTTGCGTGAAAGGGCAATTTTAAAAACAAGATTTTCTAACAAATTTGTCGAGAGTTTTTCTTTAATCTTTTTGTACGGATAGTGCTAAAGGCACAGAATAACGTGACATAAGCGATATTTTGATAGGTTCTTTTGATTTTTAAAAAATTACACAAATGAATTTATCTCTTGCGTCGTTAATACTTACATTATGGGCATTTTTAAACATTATTGCATTTATGACAAGTCCTTCAAATGATTTTAACGAAGTTTCTCAAAAACTCAATAGTTTTCTGTTAAAATTAGCTGAAAATTAGGTTTTTTGGAAGCGTTTAAATTATATTTTCTCAACAAGTGCGTTAAATTTTTTCGTGAAACTTTTGGTACGGATAGTATTAAATGCACAGAATTATATACCATAAACGCCATTTTGTGTTATTCTTTTGCTAGTCAAAAAACTTGACGAATGTAATTGTTTTGAAATATCTCGCACGCCGTTAATGCATTATTATTATTATTATTATTATTATTATTATTAGTAGTAGTAGTAGTATTAGTAGTAGTATTAGTATTATTATTATTCCTCTAATTCACGACTTAAGATGTTGAGTCGGTTGAATATAAAATCTACTCCAGGTTGCAACCAGATTTCTTAAGAGTAGCTCGAAGGACTTGCCGGTGCCTCTACAGTACTTTGTGCAAAATGTGGGATGTTCTTAATTAAGCATTTTCTTCCATTTCTTATTTTTTTGAATGACCTGTGAGTTTAGCAAAGTTCTTACACAAATATTGCGGAACAAAACCCAGATCTCCGATAACTATCGGGACGACCTGTACTTTTATGACCCACATTCGGCTCATCTCGATTTTCAAACTCTTGTATTTAAGACGTTTCTCTGCCCCCTTGCTTACGACATTTCGATCGTGCGGCACAGCCACAAGTAGACACGTTTTCTGCAAATCCCGGATAACAAAATTCGGTTTGTTTGCCACAATCGTACCATCAGTTTGGATTTGTTGGTCCCACAGTATGGTACCCAGCTCAACTGACGTTACTGGTTTTGGTGGGTGTTCGAACCATGTATTTGGAACTTCGAGGCCGGTACAGATCTGTCAGTGCCGGTAATTACACACTATGTCTTGTCTTTTTAAAGTATTCGGTCTTTGCAAGAATTGGACAAGTTGAGACAATATGATCAATGATTTCTACTTGTTCCTGGCAAATGCGGCATTTGTCATCTTGGGAAAGTTTGAGAACCGCTTTACCATAATGTCGTTTTCTTAACGCCTGATCTTGAGCAGCTATTTGAATTGCTTCCGATTGTGGATCCATTCTTCCCATTTTAAGCCACATAAATGATCTATCTTTATTGATTTGCTTCTTGTCCATTCTTTTTAGATATTATTATTATTATTATTATTATTATTATTATTATTATTATTATTATTTTATTTTTCTTCACAATTTTTACTGGTTGGTATGTCACTCACAGAAACGATGACCAGGTATGCGGTTGCTTTATTGAAGATTCAGGTGGCTTCTAACAATACGGCATGTATTCAAGATGAGTGCCTTCTGCTTATTGTATATATTCCTGGCTTCCAAGTGAAGACACTATAATGCTCGAAGTGTCATATTCGGGATCACTCCTGTGGTTGATATTATTGTAAGCACAGTTGTCACTTTTATGAAGTTACACTGAGCTGCGACTTCATGGGCGAGATCGGTATACTTCTGGATCTCCGCTTGATGTTTTGCCGATATGTTGTGGGTGTTCGGTGTTGATACATCGATAAGGAAAACCTGCTGATGGTTTCTATCGATGTACGTTATATCGGGTCTATTGCCGTCGACTTTTCTGCCAGTGATAATGCAGCGATCCCAGTAGAGACTTTGCTCACTACTTTCAAGCACGTTCTGAGGCACATATTTATAATACGTCACGGGTGTGGCGAGTAAGCCTGTTTTCATTGCCAATAATTGGTGGACGCGCTTCGCCACTCTACCATGCGTCCTTTTGTATTCCAACTGTGCGTGGCCGCTACATCCACTTGACATGTGTTGGATAGTTTCGCTTGCGGCCTCACATCTACATGAGTCGAAATGGATGGTCGAATCTGTCAGAATATGTTTTCTGCAGTTCAAAGTTGGCACCACTTGGTCCTGGATAGCTATCATGAAGGCTTCTGCCTACGGAAAGAGATCCCCGTGCTGGAACCATGCGTGCCACGCAGTTATGTCGACTTCTGGTTTACTCAGCTGATGGGGGTACCTTCCATGCAGTGCCTTCGTTTTCCATAAGGTTATCTTCAGTGATTGGCTGAATAGGCGGATCAAACTTTTTCAAGTTCAGAGGACTATAGTTATTATCAACTACGCTCACTACTTGCTGAACTCTTCCACAATGTTCCAGAAAGTATCTTCTGTGATGCAGTTTGAGAGCTGGGTAAATTTATGAGATCTAAAACACCTCGCCTTCCTTATAATTTTGGAAGGGTAAAACGCCCAATACTTGATTGGGGATGATGTTTTCGGTGTTGAGTCATAGCGGTTCGAATCGCCCTCTGGAGGTTGTCGAGGTCGGTATTGCTCCATTTAATAATGCCAAAGGAGTATGTCAGCACTGGAATAACAAATGAATTGATAGCCTGCACAAGGTTTCTAGCAGACATTTTTTGAAGAGTCCATGAAATCGTTTATTATTATTATTATTATTATTATTATTATTATTATTATTATTATTATTATTATTATTATTATTATTATTAATTCATCCATTTTTATCACAAGAGTTTCAAATGATTTTCTATGAAGTTTCTCTTCTTTTGAGCTCAAAATTGCTCATTTTCTGAAATATGGAAACATTTTCTCAAGGACGAATTTCAATTTTTCAATGAAAAAGTGCATATAAGTGCCGTGTTGGCTCTTCTTTATATTCTTTAAGTAATAATTCAACCTTACTATTTGAGAGTCGAAACAATTGAGAAAATGAAAAAAAAAAAAAATCTTAGGCGCCTATAGGTAGCATAAGGGATGATGGTGGGGCAATGCCGAAACGCTAACATAGCTTAAAGAGTTTAGAAACTCGACTAGTGCGAGAAAGTCTGAGCCTTTGTCTAGCCCCAACTAGTTATTAACTTACAAACACGAACATAAAAACTGTTAATATTACCTAAGAAATGTCACTACTAATTATTTGTCCTTTCGGCTTGCATGAATGGGGAAGTGAACGTCAAAATTCCACTCATTTTCATTTCCTTTGTTAAATTTGATGCTATAGTATTTGCCTATGGTATTACTAATGTTGGTTGCATTATCAAGTGTTAAAGCAAGTGTATCTAGTTTTCATTGAAGTAATTAAGTTAGCTCCAATCAAGGCTATGTTATTTCCTGCGCCTTTTAGTGTAAATGGGTTCAAAATACCACTACTTGTAATACTTGCAGTTGGAATGTGGAAAGAAATTGGTGTTTTACAAGAGTACGAATGCGTAGAAATATTTTGTAGAAACATAACGTTCTTAGAATATGTAGAACTACACCCACAAATCACACGAGTCATAACGGTTAATCATGGTATGGTTATTACTCGTAACTCTAAAGGAAGAATGATTTTACAATGCAAGTGCCTTTTACGCACATACATTTCCGAACATGGTGATAATGAGAGGGAGTGGGGGAGTACCTTGGTGGAGAGCAGCTTGATCTCGCGCGCCTGCCTCTTCTCGCGCAGCGCCGCCATCTTCTCCTCGTCCTCGGAGCTGTCCTCCTCCTCCTCTTCCTCGTCCTCTTCGGACTCCGTCTCCGTCTCTTCCTCCTCCTCGTCGTCGGGCTGGGGCATGGCGGCGTTGGTTGCAGCCGCGTTCACGGCAGACATGGACTTGTTGAGCTTCTTGGCCGACGGCTGTTTCCGGAGCGGCTGATCCTGCGCAGTCAAAACACTTCGTGACTTCACGAACTCAACGAGTGCTACCAGCAGCCATGCTCTGGACAAACTGCCGACGCGCGGGAAAGAATTTACAATTTCGAATATTTTCCCAATTTTCGAAAATAGAGAGAGTACGACAAAAATAGAACCAGCACCACTTTCTTTACCGCACTTTGCTACGTACGTAAATAAAAAATAAAAAATAAAGCCGTGTCTGAGAAAATAAGTGTTTAAAATTTAAAAATTGCTTATGTTTGACGTCAAATTACACAAAAATACTCATATTTCCTAAAAACTAATCATGACTTGATTTGAAGATCTGTTTTTGATGAACACATTTCATTAAGAAAATGTTATCTTTATATTAATTGTAGTTGTAGGAAGACTCCAAAAAAATTCGAATTTTTGCAACTTTCGAAAAATTAGGGACTTTTACGCAATTTCACGCAAAATTACGCGAAAAGTACTCATTTTCGACACATTTTACATGATCTTTTTTCAAAATCTATCTTTAAATAACAGATTTCATTAAGGGAAAATATATTCCTTCAAGTTGTAGGAAAATGCCGAAAATTGAACTTAAGGAATTTTCGAAAAATCTGGGATTCCAACGAAACAACAAAATTTAATAAAGTCAATGACAAAATGTAATCAAAGAAGTTTGTGTCAATTTTTTGTAAATTTTGAAAATGTCCTTGGAGCTTCATGAAAGCATCCCCCTAATTGAAAAAATCGGTTTCAAATTCAAGGGGCCGCGATATAAGCCAGAACGATCGGAGAATATGAATTTTCGACAGAACGATTTAGCGCTAGCGTTGATCACAGACACAGCGGACAAACGTTTTGACATCAATAGATCTTTCGATACCAAAGACCAACAAAACATGGATTCTGGCAACACAGCTTATTAGAGGAATTTGCTTTTTATATTGTGAAACGGGAGGTTTCTGTCGACAATTCGTCGCTTTTCCCTGCAGTATTACATAGTGGTGGCGAGAAAGTAAAAGGAAAACAATCTGATTGAGGACAGTCTCGTCGTGAAGCCATGGATCGGACGTGCATGGCTCGTTGCTGATGTTTGCAACGTTGGGCGGAATCGCATTTCTTTAAACGCAACTCGTTCTTCCATTAGTGCCGATAGCGCTCAAAGCCTGACTGCAAATGTTTCTCCACGTGAGCGTCTGGGAGGCTCACCTTTCCGGCGCTGCTGACTCGTCGTTCCAGCGTAGCGTTGCGACGGCGCAGTTCCTCCAGCTCTGCGCGCAGCAGCTCCGCCTGCAGGTCGGCCTCGTGCACGCGCTGCTCCAGGTCGTGCGCCCGTTTGCCGGCCTCGCTCAGCTGCCCCCGCAGCGCCTCGGCCTCCTGCGCACGCCGAGCCCCAACGCGCACGTTGGACACGCCAGCGCCCCTCCCCAGTACCCTCGATTCCCCCTCGCCCCTCGCCCACTCCGTCTTGCTCACCCACACCAATTCCATCGCCGTATCTCTCACCTACACAACTACACCAACTACTTTCGCTCTCGCCCCTCACCAACATCCTCGCCATCACCCACACCAATGCCATCGTCCTAGCTCACGCCCGGAGCTTCACCAACGCCCTTCGCCTTCACTCCTCTCCTACACCCTCTTCCTCACCCACACCCAGTCCATCGCCGCAACCCTCACCTACACCACTCGCTAACTACATTCGCTCTCGCCCCTCGCCGACATCCTCGCCAATACTATCGCCTTAGCCCACGCCATTCGCCAATGCCCTTCGCCCTCACTCTGCTCCTACACCTCTTCCTCACCCCACCACTTCCATCGCCGTATGCCTCACCTAACACAACTACATCCAATACTTTCGCTCTCGCCCCTCACGGCAACAATCCTCGCCCTCACCCACACGCAATTGCCATGTCTAGCTAGCCCTTCGCCTCACTCTTCTCCTACATCCCTTTTCCTCACCCATCACCAACTCAATCGCCGTATCCCTCACTACACCCTTCGCCAACCACATTTCGCTCCGCCCCTCATCCAACATCCTCCGGCCCTCTACCTACACCAATCGCCATCGTCCCTACTCACGCCCGAGCTTCACCAACGCCCTGCGCCTCACTCCTCTCCTACACCCTCCTTCCTCACCACACAACTCCATCGCGTATCCTCACTTGCTCCTACACAACTACACCGAACTACTGTCGGCTCTCGCCCCTGCGACCAACATCCTCGCCTCACCACAACCTCAATGCCATCCACATTAGCTCACGCCCTTCGCCTCACTCCTCTCCTACCCTCTTGGCTCATCCAACCAACTGCCATCGCGTATCCTCCCTACACGCCTTCGCAACTACTTTCGCTCTCCGCCCCTCATGCAAACATCTCTCGCCCTCACGCACACCAATGCCATCGTCCTAGCTCACGCCCGGAGCTTTCAACCACCGGCCTTCGCCTTCACTCCTCTCCTACACCCTCTTCCCTCACCCAACCAACTCCCATTGCCCTGCAATCCCTTACCCGTACCCCACGTCGCTAAGCTACATCGCCTGGCCTGCCGACATCCTCCGCCTCACCACACAATGCATCGCTTCCTATGCTCACGCCCGGAGCTTCACCAACGCCCTTGCGCCTTCCACCTCTCCTACACCGCTCTTCCTCACCACACGCCAGTCCATCCCGCAACTCCTGCACCTAACACTCGCTAACCTACTTCGCTCTCGCCTCTACGCCGATCATCCTCGCCCAATAATATCAGCTTAGCACGCCATTCGCGCAATGCCCTTCGCCTCGTCGTCGCTCTTCACCATTTGCCGTCGCGTGCAGCATGGACTTATCTTCGCTTTCGCCCTGAACGTGGCCTCGCTTCGCTCCTCGCCAACATCTCGTCTCCACCTTCATCAACCCATCCCTGTTGCTACTCGCTTCCTAGCCAACTCCCTTGCCCTCTTTCCCGTCTCTTCCCTCTCCAACGTCATCGTCCTAGACCTAGGACTCCTCTTAGCCAACGCGCTTCGCCTTCATCCTCTCTCACGCCAAACACTTTCGCTCTGCCTCATCATCCTAGCCTTGCCCCCACCGCCGTGCCCTCGGCCTCAGCCGGCCAACCGCGCTTGCCCTCTTACCTTCTCCGCCTCGAGGCTCCGCTTGGCGCCGCCCTCGTCGGCCGGCGGCGCCGCCGCCTTGCGCCTGCGCTCCTCGTCCAGCTCCACCTCGAGGTTGAGGATGCGCGCCTGCAGCCGCTTGTTCTCCTTCTCCACCGCCTGCTTGTTGCGCAGCTCGAGCGCCAGCATCTGCTTGGTGGACTGCAGGTCGTCGCGCAGCGTGTCGATGTCGTCCAGGTCGTCCGGCTCGGCTGCGGCGTCCACCTCCTCCTGCGCCTGCGCCTGCTGCGCCTGCTCCTCGATGGTCAGCTGGCGGCGGAACTTGCGCAGCCCTGCCGCGCACCACCAAGCCATGTCATAACGCACCGCGTTTGGCCAATAGTTAATGTCATGTAGTAGGGAATTTCAGAGTTCCACATGTGGCATGTGCCCCTCATTGTTATGCGACCCTGTATGCGCAGATGTTCTGCGGATTCATACGTACTTTTTGACATCGTCAGGACGTGGCCTGTCGAAGGACTGCGCATTAGGAGTTGCCTGGCAATAATATGCAAATGCATTTTGTGTAACTCTGAAATTTCCCGCCACATGTGTGTTGGGAAAAATTGTTCATTTTGTTGCTGTGTACATGCTTTAGAAGTTCGTAACATTTATTCTGTCACTTTATGAATGTAAGAGGAAGACACTAGGAGAAACCTTCTGACCGCAGCGGTGAAGTTTTTGGAAACAGACTGGGAGGGTCGAAAGCTCACCTTCCAGAATGGGACGACTGCGGTCGTTGGTCTTCACCTTCTTGAGCCTCACTCCCGACTGGATCTCTCTGAGCAGCTGGTTGTGCACGTTGGGCTTTTCCGAGTCGTACATGAACTAGAAGCAGAGGCGCCTGGGTGAATGAGAGCGCGCGCGCGCGGACGGACTGTGTGTGTGCGTGGGGGGTGGGGTGGGGTGGTGGCGTGACGTACCTGCCCCTTGACCTTGGCGCTGGGCAGCAGCGGCTGGCTGCGGTCGTTGCACTGCACGTGGCGCAGGCGCAGGCCCTGCTCCACCTCCTTCATCATGGCGCTCCAGTCGGGCCTCTTGCGCGCGCGCCCCGTGCGCAGCTTCTCCAGCTTCTGCTCCTGCGCCTTCGACAGCGGGTCCTTCTCTGCCGGGGCATCGAGACGATTGCAATACGGAACTAAGTTGTTTACGCATCAAGGACATCCCAATGGTTCTAATGATCCGGCGGCGACAAATAGCTCGAGAGCTTTTTGTTGTCCGAGATCATTTAGAGAGAACCAGGTAACATCCGTGATACAAACATGATTTTATTTTTACTTTCTCGTCCTTATGAAGGTACTTTGTTAGAAGACAAAGTTATGTATTCGTACACCGGAAAACTGCGAATTTTCGGCAGAAAGATCTATTGCCGGGCTCTGGTAACGAAAAAGTGGACAAATCCTGATGCTTAATATAGGAAAAAGATTCCTCTAACACGGAATGTAGCCGGAATCCATGTTTTGCCGGTCTTTGATACCAAGAACTCGATTGATGACAAAACGTATCTATGGATTTGTGGTCAACGGTAGCGCCTGAACCGTTCAGCCGATTTTCTTCAAAATTTATATTCCGTAATTGAAGTGAATGATCTCGAGGCTTTGGGGGTTTCAAACGGATATCTTAATATTTGGAGCTACTTTACATTAAGCACCCTAAACATTTTCAAAATTTGTCCAAAGATGGCACCAATTTTTTAAAATCAAAATCTCGCATAGTGTATAGAACTCTTAAGAGAATGGTGCAGGTCTCATGTTCGTTGAAACCTCAGATTTTGAAAAATTGCAAAATGCATTTTTTTTGGGGGGGAGGATCTTCCTACAACTGTAATATTGAATAACGAGTATTTTCCTGAATGAAAACTGTACCTGAAAGACGGATCTTTTAATAAATACATGTTCAATTTTTATTTCTAAAATATGACCCGTCGAGGAGAGTCGGTCTACGTCTTGACGGGGGGATGCAGGGATGTCTCTCAAGTATTCCTTTTATTTCACCAGTCATTTCCATTCCTCAACGGCCCATCATTCATTGTTGTTCTTTGATAACACCCTATCTCTTTTTCTTATATCCCTTGTACTTCAATGACGCCCCTGTTTGCAGAACTGCCACCCATGTGTTTGCCGGGCATGGCAATCCGTGTCGGAGGGAATGTGTGTCCTGGCAGTTATGGGATCTGTTTGTTTTCCAACTACTCCTTGTGCAACTTTTCTGCTTTGCACCTATACGTTGTTTACGTATTTTGGGGAAATTCCTTGTAGGTTTCCAACATACTTGCTTTGGCCTCGTACTCTTCTAAACGGGCTGTCGGGAGCCAACCCACTCCCAATCAATCGGCTCGGACTAGGTAGTATTCTGATCAGGGTGCGCGGGGTATCCACGGCGATGCAGCGCTGTGTCGTTCCCCATATATATATCCGTGACAATCTGGGCACTCCGATGGAGTGCCGTCCCCTTGTTCGGCTCCATAGTGGGTGGGGGCCTCGGGCATGAATCTTATATCCATCTCCATGGTCACTAAACCTTCTCCCCCGCCCTTTTCCGCAAGAAGAGGAGTTATCCGGAACAAACTATTGATTTAAATACTTTTTTTTGCAAAACATGACCGACCGAAAAAACCTCGTTTCCTCCTCATGGCATGCGCCGAGGATGAAAAAACGCTCAAAATCGTAAGTGCTGTCCGTTTGGTGCGCGCCATAGAGGAAACGTACGGGATGCTCCAAGCGGTCGTGTGACAGGAATGGAACGATTCTCTTTGAAGCAAGCACTGACGACCAAATAGAGAAATTATTAAAAGCCAAGCAGATTACCGGCCTCCAGGCGGTAGTGACGACGCACCCAACATTGAACCTGTGCGAAGGCGTTGTGAACTACTACGACTTTCCTTCAGAAAATGAACTAATTTTGAAGAGAAAATGAAGAATCAACATCATTCCCCAAGGGGGGAGCCAGGCCATCGGTCAACAAAAGATGCGCAGATTTGAGCAACATTTATGCCATGCGGATAGAGCTTAACCCAAACTGACAGTGTGTGCGGTATCTGATCGTCCTCACGTGCGGCACGTCACGTCATCATGCACTTCTGAATTTGTGTAAGAAAAATGCCTTTTTATGAAATAAAAACTCTTTTTGAAAACGAATTGAAAATCTTTTCCAAAATAAGTTTCAGAAATACTGGTAGAATAATGAACGATTTACTAAATATGTAAAATATATATAGTCCAAAATAGAAACGAAAAATTTTGATATGTGTTAGGATTGGCATGATTCGTCAAGATCATAATTTTCAAAACTAAACATAGAAATACAAATAACTGGTTTTATAACGTCATGTACTTTCTCATATTATTTTTTAATTTGCGATTTTCGGAGTTTCGAGTTCAACGAAAATTAGACACGCCATTCTTTTATACTTTCCTTATTCTATCCGTGGAAAAAATTGAAAACAATATGTTCGAATTCAGGCTATGTTCATCACCACTAGGCATTGAGCAATCGGTTATGGTTTCCTTCCACCACAAATATCATTCTGGATCCCAGGTGACGTTGAGATTTGGTTCCGAAGGTTGGAAGACGCGATTTTAATCCAATCTCAATGAAAGAATGAGCATACGGGAGAGGCCTGCTCTGCTTATACGCCCAAACACAAAAGCAAGTGTGCAGCAATGAAGAGATCTTTTTAGTAAATTTAACGATGTGCACAGTCGTGGAATAATGCAAATAGTGAAAATGTAAATGTGGGATGAGTACAAGGGTAGCAGCTTTGCTCGAGAACCTGTAATCGCCCCTATATGACAGCGCATGCGACATGTATTTTTCTAAAGATAATATAAATAGCTACTCATTTTAGGTAAAAAATAGTTGCTCTTTGAAAAGAAAAAAGTGTGTTATCTTTTTATGTGCTTAAATACTAAACTTTTTCTTTTCGTCGTTTAGAAATGTGCCGCACATTTGGCCACTATTTCATTTATTCCTCTTGTAGATAGCCAATGTCTTTGGAAATCAAATACACTAGCTAAGTAATTGATTTGTTACAGGTGTTCTCTTCGCCCACAATTTTGAAGCACGATGTCTAGAAAAGCCCGGCCAGTAAGCGTAAGTATTAACATTTTTGAACAGTAGATCCGGGTTTATCCGGCCCTCATTTAAGTCTATGTTTATTCTGGACTGATATTCAGTCATAATTAAAGACGTATTTTATGTGGTTGCTTCTACTTCAAACCACTGACTAGTGTTAACAATAAAACCAGGAAAGTAGTGGTGCTACAACAGCACTCACTTTCTCGCGTCAATATAAATTCTAACAGCAATTTCTGTCAATATTAACACATCTCCACTAGCACTTCTAAAACTCATTACCAATCGCTGCAACACAAATTCGAGAATGCAAAACTCCCGTTCCATAACTCAGAAACAGTACCCAACAATGTGAAGATATTCTAAGAAAATCAAACTGCCATATCGCAGCGTTGCGGTGTTGAATTGCAACATGTTAACTCCTGAAAGATTCTTGCAAAAGAAGTGCGGGAAATGGCCAGAGAAACAGGAAACTGTGAGCAAATGTTCAGATTGCTCATGATGAATAGGCAACTAAGAGACTCTCTAAAATATCTTTAAAAGAGATTTAATAGTTGTGAACAAAATATTTTAAAATTCTTATATGCACTTCTCGGTAAAATTAATAGGCTTATCAGCATGTTCTCACAAATGTTTAGTTTATTGCTAATTGTAGTAGATTAGCATTACATTTGCTGTTCTATGTGGATGAGTGAACATGTATTTAAAAACAAATATTCATGGATTAGTTAAGAAGGAACTTTCTTAGAAAATGGTGGAATTGACCTTGTGGACATGGTAAAGAAAATATTTCGTATCCTTCTTTCTTTCTTAGTGATTTTAAGTTATTTTAAAATTTACAATTGTTTTAAAATATATTTGAACTTAAGGTAAACTGTTCTTAAACAGTTTTAATAATTTTGCCCATTAATCAATCGGGAAATATTGGGGAGGGAGACCCTCCGCTCCCTTACGACCATTGCGTTTGCAACACCTTTAAATTTAACTCCGCCGCCAGCACGGAAGCCCTATTACGAAAAAATTCATTAATTAGTGAAATCATTTTGATTTAACAAATATATATTTTTGTGTTGCTTCTTTTATAGCACATGATTCATTAAAAACATATGTTTGCCAACACTGCAAAAACGTCTGAAAGATTCTAGTTAAAGAAGAGCCTATTGCCCATTGTACAAAAATTGATCCATCACAAACGACATAAGGAATCACTGGCATAAACATCGATCTCCTTTCCTACAATCATATCTGAACCTAGTGCCAAAATTATGAGAAACTTCCTAGCACGACATTTCCTCCGTTTCCGCCGTTCCTCCTCCATCAGCCCACACTTTATGGAACATAATTCGGCGTATCCTGAATAAACCTATCAATTTCTCCCCTCACCGCCTCATTGGGTATAGCATCTTCACCATCGGAAAAATGCGAAGTATCGGGGTATTACTTTGCTACATCATTCACACCACACCCCACCAAAAACCCTGAACTTGACAATTTCATCTCAGAAGAAATCGCAAGACCAATAATAATAGCACCACAATGTCTCAAATTCATCTCCAATAGAAATCATTAAATATATTTCTCTCTTAGCATCCAAAGTATCAAACGGTTTAGACCAAATCTCAGCGTACTTAGTCAAACGCTTTCAACTAAAAATCATTGTACACATTACTGCAATATTCAATGCAGCCCTGAGAATTTTATACATCCTTCACATATGGAAATAAGCACATATCATCCACATCCGAAAGCCAGGAAAAGCAAATGACGACCCAGCAAGCTACAGTCTAATCAGTTTGCTATCTTCTGCTGGAAAATTATTTAAAAAATGCATCCTTACTGGACTTATCATTTTACCTCACCACACTAAATGTGCCACCCCATCAGTTTGGCTTTCAGCCTCTACTTTCTACCTAGCACCAAATATTGCTATTGACTCAGGACTTTGACAATTCAAAGGATTCCATGGCCATAAATTAAGAGCAGCAGTATTCCTTGGCATTTCAAAAGCATTTGATATAGTATGGCACCCAGGACTGATATGCAAGCTTCGGAACATTGGCACTCCTAAATACCTCAGAAGCATGATAGGTTTTCTTAGCGAACGTACATTTTCTCCGGTGCCCTTTCAACACCATAACCCATCAAATCAGGAGTTTCACAATTATTTAATTTGTTTCATATTAAAAAATATGTGAAATAGTATTTCTTTAATTACATGTCCGATTAACCACACTGCTGGTGCGTGCGTAACTTGCGAAAAGCATCCGCTGTGTTCTGCTGCGATTCCATATCCCTCTCTGGGACTGCCAGTCCCAGCTGCATGCAGCGAAGTATGAGCATAGTTGATTTCCCTTCACCCGCTGTTTCTCGATATCGGAACTCTTGGCGCTGCAGGAAAGTCAGTCCCTTCCTCAGCTCTGCGCGAAGTTTACATGATTTTTAAAACTCTGGCGGACGTATGATATAGTGAGGTGCTGTATATTGTATTTTTCTGTTGTTTTTTTTTACTTTTTCGCTACCGAATGGAGGCATAGTTATTCCGCATTGAGACATAAGCCTCACATATGCGATAATGTATCCTGCAATGCAAATATTTATGACGTGCGAATTATAAAAAAATACATTTGTGTATTATTTGAAAGAACAAAATAATACTGCGAAGTGAGTTCATGCCATCTGTTGCTGTCCATTTACCTCTATCTCCCCCCCCAAAAAAAAAGTTGAAAAAAAAAATGTATACTTTTGAGAAAATCTTGTTTTTAATATTTCTTTTAATATTGCCCATATTTCATTCACAATTGCTCGAAAACTACTAAAATGTTAAAAAAAATGTGCATGAGGTTAATTGAACTAATTCTGGAGAAGGACATTTTATTTGGAGAAAATATCGCTGTCATCAATACTGAAGTTTTTCGAAGATTTAAAAAAAAAATACAAAGTTTTTTAGTTTAGGAAAATCGGACTTATGTCATCTTTATAGCTAGGATTCTTTATAATTAGCTGTTACTCAGCATGTAGGATAGTTTTTAGCTTTTCTGACAGAAAGGATGTGTATTACGATATAATCGTTCAGCTCGAAGGCGTGGCCTTAGCCAAACAAAAGCGAAGAGAGAGTACTCACTGAAGTCCGGCGGCGGCGGGGGCGGTGCGGGCGCGGGCGGCGGGGGCGGCACGGGCGCCAGGTTGGAGGCGGAGCGGTTGCTGCGGCTGCGGGACAGCGGCGTGGGCTCAGGCGGGCGACGCGCCTCCCGCGGCGGCGGCGGCTTCTGCGACAACACGAGGGCCATCGCACCGGCGGTCCCGCCACGGGTATACACAAGTATAACAAGCACTGAAATAAGTCATTTTCAAAGTATATTTAAAGTCAAGATGATTTACAGGCGGGAAAGTGGTAAATATTGTTTTTATTTTCTTAATAACATCCCTGCGGACAAAAAAATCCGAAAAAATAAAAATTTGTGTGAAAACGAAAACGGTGTAGCGGTCATTTTATAAATTCTGGGAAAACCGTTTATTTTAGGCTACATTACAGAGTATTTTCGTGGTTTTAATGAACAATTGAATTGCTGTGGTTTTAATGATGAAACAAATCACCACGACTTTTCAGTGATATTGACTTAAATAAACATGTTTCTCAGAATTTATAAAATGTCACTTATACCTTCTCGTTTTCACCTATTCATTTCTTTGTCAACATCGGAAACCCTACCGATCACATTTGCCGAAATGGAAAGTAGGCAAAGAAAATGTTATTCAAGGATTACTTTTCACTTCAGAGTTTATGGATTTCTGAATATATTTTGCCAAAATGCCAAAATATAAACTTTTTAGCACGACATAATGTATTGTTTAGATGACTCTATATTCTGGTTTTCGTGCGTCTGCTGAAGTTTCGTTAAGTTCTGAATTGCGGCTTGAACTTTATGTTTGGGATCAAGTCGGCGAATGGGAAGAAACAAACAGGTGTGAGGAATAAAAGTGATAAAAAAGGAAATAAATGCTTTAGTATAGGAGTAGTTTCAATTCGCACGGCATTTGTGTAATGTATAGCAGTGCGCACCTTGCTAGCGTCCTTGGGCTCTGGCTTCGGGGGGCGGGGCTCGGCCTTGGGCTCTGCCTTGGGCTCTGCCTTTGGCTCTGCCTTTGGCTCTGCCTTGGGCTCGGAGCGCTGCTTGGACTCCACCTGGATGTTGATCTTCCGCTCCTGCGGTTCCTCCGCCTTCTGCAACAAGACACTCGCCTCAGCGGAAAGGGCCGGCAGAGGAAGCTCCCAGCCACTCTGACCGGGAGGCCCTGCGTTGGAGTCCCGTCGGGGGCGGGTTTTCTACACTAGCTACGTAACTAGGTCGTATTCAGCCGCTGTTTGGAGAAGTCTTGCAGCCGGCCGCTCTCGTCGGTACGTTTCCATGGTGGCGTTGATGAATACCAGGCGGCGCTATACCTTAACAAACGGGCCACGGATCTCGCGCCATATTTACTTCCTCTTCTTTAACCTATCCACACCGCTTGCGTACATGCACTACACTAGCACACATGTCGGGAGAGGAGGTGGGGCCGTATAAGGGCGAGCGGCTCACCTGCTGCTTCTTGGCCGCCGCGGCGCTCACCACGTCCTTCTTCAGCTCCTGCGCCTTCGCCTGCGCGACGCCGTTCTCGTGCGGGGCCGCCGCCGAGGGCTGCGACGGCACGATGGTGATCTTGCTCTGCTTGCGCGCGGCCGGCGGCGCGGCGGCGGGCGTCTCCGCGGGCTCATCTGCCGCACCCCGGGAACACTCTCAGCACGCAGCTCGCGACAAGCCCCGTCGCACCAAATATACCCAGTTACTTTTCTCGCCGGTTCGCTGTGCTTTCGGGGAGGAGAAATTAGAATTGAAGGTTCAGCACATCGAGAAAGGTCGGCTTCCAAGAGAAAAGCTCGTAGTAGAGAAATGCGCAAACCTAACAATTTTAGTGTTTTAGTGACTATACAAAATTGAATTAAAAATTTATTTTTATATGCATATATTAACTTTAATTTTTCACAAAACGGGTCAAGTGCTGAAGCACGCTGAAAAACGGGCTTTTGTCCCTCTGGCCAAAAGGAAAGAATAGAACCCTCCCTCGCTCTCTTGCATGGAGACACGAGCGAAAAACAGAAGAAAATGCCACATGTTTTTTTTGCGATTTCTTTCCGACGCCGATATTTTCGGAGATGGTAAACATAAAATTCAAATTCAGCACCCCCCCCCAAAAGACATTAAAAACCGGCGAGAAAAGAACATCCGGAAATTTTTCCTGGACCGAATACCTAGACTACTAGCATGGGTAGGAGCTGCCTGGCGCAGGGGTGAATCCAGCTGATCATTTTGAAGGGGGGCATCACAGATTTTGTTAAATTATACACATTTGTTATTATAATGTATATTGTTTTTAAGCATATCTATGGTACAATACAATATTGTTTAAATAATTACATAATTCCAACAAATATTTAGACGGTCAAGAGGGCCGAGAGCCAGTGGTGGCGTAGTGATCTCGGACCAGAAGACCGCTGGTTTGAGTCCCGCCTCGGTCATGTATTTATGTATTTGTGAATGTCTACATGTGTGTGCCGTCCTTTCATCTCTCACTATCTTCATCATCATCATCATCATCATCATCATCCATACCCCCTGAGCTAACAACCTTGAGGGATAACAAACGGAATTCAGCTAAAAAGCTGATAGCCCCAGATAAAGATACCTGCACCTGCTGAAGCAGGATGCACGCGTGGTCCAAGTTGGCCTACATGCAACAAAAAAATCAATTTTTCCAAAGGAATGGAGGTAATAAACCAAAACTTTAGGCCTTTGGGGGCGGGGCCCTAATGCCCCCCTGGATCCGCCACTGGTTGCGGAGAATTAACATGGGGACGGAGGTTATGAAGGGTTATTTGTACTACGAAATAACTTCATGACAATGTCTAAAGGAGATGCATTGGGTGGGTAACCCATGCGTTGGGACGATTTTACATGCAAAATGGGGCGCAACATTCCATGAAGTTTTATCACCATACAGTGGTGAAATGCATCATTTTCTAAAACACTACGTCAAAATATTTTCTCTTTATATATACAAATTTGTTAAAAAACACGCGGACTATTTGAACGACGCGGCTCCAGTTCATTCTCGGGAAATCCACTTGATGTCGCTAGGTTTGCCGATATCTGCTGATTATGACGCCATTTCCCGATTGTTGATATCTTCATTTGTTTATTAGCTACGTGGATTTTACTGAAGTACGATTTTTTCGTTTGGTGGACTTCAAAATGAATGAAATGAAAAAAGCAACAACTAACTGTGAAATTTTGGGTTAAACTGGAACAATCTGCGACAAACTTTTGTTATGCTTAATACGACTTATTGTGATGTTGCTCTGAAGCATACGACATGTTTCAAGTAGCATGAACGTATTAAAGGTCGACTGTCCAATGAAAATGAGGACCGTTCTGGATATCCTTCCACATCAACTGACGACCCAGACAAAATTACTAGCCTGGTGCAAACAATTCGACCTCTGAGTGTCAGGGAGCTTGCTAACGAGTGTCGGTTATCAGTTGGATATTGTCACGAGATTTTGACTGAGAAAGTGAAGATGCACCAGCTGCTGCGAAATGTGTGCTAAGCTTGATCACGAACAAAATGTCCAATGTCTCCAGCTTTGTCAGGAACTGCATGATCGTTCAGAAGAAAGCTTACTTTCAATGATCATAAGCGGTGATGAATCATGGGCGTATGGTTATAACATTGAAACAAAGGCCCAGTCGTCTCAGTGAAACGTCTCTCAGTCATAAAAAACCTCACCAAGTTCGGTTTAAGATGAGGTATAAGATGCTGACAATTTTGTTTGCTAAGAATGTTGTTCACAACGAATATCTTCCCGAAGGTTCGTCAGTGATCCAAATTTACGATATTGAAGATCTGAAACGTCTGAGAGACGCAGAAGGCAAGAAATGTGGAGGGACGATTTTTCTATCCAGCTCACTCCACTCATGAGTTTTTGGTCAAACACAGTTTTTCCTCACCTGAGCTTGCTCCTTGTGACTTTTTCTTGTTCCCCAAACTCAATAGATCCCTGAAAGAAATACGATTTGAGACGATTCCCGAGATTATGGCCAGTGCGACGAAGGAGCTAAAAGACATTACAAAAGAAGCGTTCCATGAGTATTTCAAGAAGTGGAAACACTTGGGATAAGTGTGTGCGATGGGGAGGAGAGTACATTGAAGGGTTCCGCAGACTGCTAACCTTTAAATAAAGTTCATTTTGTTTTATGACGTCAGTCCGCATATTTTTCGAACATCCTTCGAATGTGATTTGATGTTAACAAGACTTCCCTTATTAAAGATTAATGAATGTACGTTTTTATTCCATTTCATTCGTGAAAAATTAAACGTTTGAATGATAAAAGTGATCTCATCGGGGACATGTAATAATTTTTACTTTCTCTTTACTGCTTATGGAGTTTAGGGAAAGTTTTTTAATTCTACCAGAAAAAAAATAGACAGGAAAAACTTATTGCCGGTCCCCATTAAAGAAAAATGGATACATCTTGTCCCTGTATATAGTAAATTACTTCTTCCATCACATTGTGTAGTCGGAATCCATGTTTTGTGGCTCCTTAATACCGAAAATTCGATTGACTGCAAAACATCTGTCCATCCGTTTGTCTGTCTATGAACAACGCTAGCCGATAAACCGACACCAAGATTTTCACCTGATGATTTCCACAATCGATCTGCCTGATGTCGTGGCCTGTTGTATTTAACACCGATATTTTAATTTTGGGAGGTAATTTACATGAAGCCCCTGGGACATTTTCAAAAATTTCAGAAAAATAGCTCCAAATTTTTTGATTAAATTTTGTCCTGGGGTAAAGTAAAGGACGCTTAACAGAATGGTGCAGGTCGTCAAATCCCTGGTTTTCGAAAGTTGCGATAGTTTATATTTTTTTAGTCATCTTCCTACCTCTACAATTCAAGACCTGGAATAAACAAGAATGAATGAAACAAGCCGTATAACATAAATAAGAACCAAAGTCCAGACGCATTTCTTGATAGTGTTACGGGTTGATTATAAATGGCAGGAGTTGTATGTGCCAATAGTTTTTTTTAGAAGTATGAAAATGCCACTTACATTCTTTTTTATTTCAAGCCTTTAATTATGAAGATATTTTTTTCTTATTGAAATGTGTTCATCAAAATCAATACAATTTGGAAGATACACAATAATTACAAACTACATTTAAAACAAATGTACATAACCTTATTTAAATATGTGATTTTTAAGAACACATTTGTTTTAAAAAATCTTAATATTGCAGTTTTTTAATATGATCTTTTCCCAATTTGCGAAAATCCAGAGAGTTTCCCCAAAATAGCTCATGAGCTATTTGTAAGTGAACTTAAGTCCATTAGAGAGAAAAAATTGAGCCGTTTTTGAGAAAATATTGAAAAATTACTTTTACTTCAACAAAAGTTACGCTAAAACTATTTTTTCAAACACTTGTTCATCTTATTTACATATCTATTTTTTTAAAATGTATAAAGAAGAAAATATGTATCAATTTTGTATTTTTTTTCAATTTTCGAAAACAGAGAATTCACCGAAAATAGGGACTTGGGCAGTTTTTATAATAGTACTTTGCTCTATCCGAGGAAAAACATGAAGCAGTGTTTGAAATGGTCTAAACATTTTACATAAAATTATGCAAAAACTACTCATATTTTCGAAAAGTTGGACCTTATTTAAAGATGTCTTTGATGAACGGATTTCATTTAGGAAATCTTTATCTTCAAGACTGCAGGTGTAAGAAGACTCCAAACAAATGTTGAAGTTCTGCAATTTTCGAATATTCAGGATTGAACGAATTCGAGAGCTGCATCAGTTGAATTGCGAATTTTGCTCTATCCAAGAAAGAAATTTAATGAAAAATTTTGGAGCCATTTTAAGATTTTAAAGATTACTTTGAAAGTGTTTTTACAGCTTGATGCAAAGAACTCCCCAAAATCAAACAATGCGTTTGAAATTCCCTGGATCTGGAGATCGGCGCGGTCGATTAGGGAATATCAATATTGTAGATAATCATTTGAACGGTATCGCCCCTAGCGTTGCACATTGGCGGACAGAGATGCAGAGGCTGTGCCGCCAGGGAATTTTTCGGTATTACGGACCCACAAAACCTGAATTCTGTCAGTACAGGAAGCAATTTACAACATATCAGAACAGGATTTATCCCCAAAACGAATTTTTGCTGTAAAGGGAATTGAAAAATTGCGGTTTTTTACCGTGGCATTACATTTTCTGTATACTACGAAGTATGCGAGAAAAATAAAACAGGGCCCTGGAAAGTAAACAAAACTTGGAAGTAAACAACTCTTGGGTGATGTGAATCAATATGGGTGTCTCCTCTGATATTGAGCATCCCCAGAGTGTGTTTGTGTGTGTGTATATAATATGAAGTGTACATTTCGAGGCGAAATCATGTACTCAACTCTGTGTCTTTGACCTTATTGACTTGTTTCAAAATGCCATATCAACGTGTCTTGCTTAAGCTAAACAGAGTGATTTTGTGTACCTGTTCCGCCGGTAAGTGTGTATGCGTCATACCTCTGCTGGTGCGTCGGTCGCGCGCGCGGGCCAGCGTCCAGGGCGCTGCGGGCATGGGCAGCGGCTCGGGCCCTTCCTTGATCCAGGGCGGGCGGAAGGTGGTGCGCTGCGCCCCCGAGCGCCCCGCGGAGGAGCCCGCCGCGCCCGCCCCCTGCTGCGCTGCCGCCGCCGCCGCCCCCGGCGCTCTGGCCGCCGCCGCCTTGCGTGCGCACCGTCGGCATCGGGGCGATAAAGATGGGCGGCCTGCGCACACGCACAACCACACTTTAGCGTGGATTCGTTTTCTGTACATCCAGGCAAAAGTTAGTTTGCATTTATCTATTCGTGGATACAGTCACCTTCTTGATTTGTAATAAAAGAACGAGTACTATTGCATCATTATTTAAATGAACAAAATTACTCAGGAGTGTCTTGCGGGATGCGGAATGTAGGCAAAGGAAGTGTCAGTCTACAACAGGGGTGTTTAACTTGCAGTCTCAGGGGATACAACGAAAACATTTAACGTGGGTGCGGGCCATATTTTCATTACTCGAGCCATCCACACGTGAGTTTCCGTATTGTTGATATTTGCAGTTAGCCCAACTGCTCTGAAACGGCGTGTGTATGGGGGGGGGGGGGCATGTGTCATACAGGCCTTAGCACGCAGTGAAACACTTTGGGATGATTTTAAATTTCTGAATTTCCTAGAAAACAATTGCTTAACTCTAAACTTAACCTATTTTTACATTAAGGGGGCCGTTGATCCCTTCAGGGCACGAACGCTAGGCGCACGGCGCATATTTTCTCGCTCGGCTTGGGAGGAAAGGCTTCACTTTTGACTAATAATCTTTTACGGTCCACAATAAGAAGCACCTCGGGCCGCCCCTGGTCTAGAGAAATGATTTAGCTCTAATCTTCAATCTCTACTCTTCTATTAAAACTAAACAAATAGTGAAATTACTGTCCCTTGTTGAAATGGAATGATTTTTCACCTGTGATGTAATACGAGTATGTCTCATTGTTTAAACGCGTAAATATATTATTCTCAATTTTCGTGATTAATTCTGGTTGCTATTTAGACCTCTCCCCCTATCTCTACAAGATACCACTCGGGCACTAACGCGGCTCTCGAGAGGCCAGCATCGAGCGCCAGCCGTCGGGGTTCCAAGCGACGTATAGTTGTTTACTGCAAATCAAGGATCCTTCCAAACATCCCTCTGTTGTTCGTGGACCACCTTATTAGCCTGGCCACAATGGAATAGATAACTTACCAAAGATGATCACAGGGCGGATAAATATTGAAAGACAAGAGCAAATATACCTCGAGGCAGTTTTAACATTCAAAATTATCAAGCGCACAAAGAAAACACAATGCACATAATAGTGTAGTATTATGTATGACAAGTACATATGAAACCCAGATTACACCCATCAAAGGAAAATGCACATTCAAAAAATTGTTTGAATGAATAGAAATAAAAATTAAATAACACTACTAGATCTCCCAAAATATAACTGCTCTCTACACAAACTTTTCCTATAGGGTCAATCCATTTTAAGTGGCTCAGCACTGGTAGACTGTCTCAGAAAAAAATCATACTTTACCTACAAGTTCCCTTACGTTTAGCTCGTTCAGAAGAGTTTTTAATGTAATACTACTACACTAATGGCAGCCATTTTTTAAGCCGCTTGCTATTTTTCGCGTTTGTAGATATAGACGATTTGCAAATTACTCTGTGCTAGATTGTTATAGCTTTTGAAACTAAAATATTGGATTCCGTAAACAGTAGCTTACAAATCAATGTGCTACTTAGTACGCTTTTATTCGGGAAATATTTGCATCCAAAACTATCGAACGCAAATGACTAAATTTCTATTTTCAGAGAGTAATTTTTCAAAATAGGAATATACTCACAGCCTCTATTTTTCTCTGCTTTTACACATCAATGTGTAGTTACTGGGCGTGAAATTTAAATGATAAGGGGCGTGCTACTTAAAATGTAAACCCTCTTAAAAATTGGAATTTTGGATTTTTTCCAAATTTTCAACTGTAATATCTGTTGAACAACCAGGTAAAAATTTGAAACTTGCTCAGTTAAAAGCTACAAAACTTATGATACCAAGCGCAGTATAAATTTCAAGTTTTAGATTTAATTCAAGTGGGTTTAAAAAAATCGTAAATTTACGCGAAAAATGCTTTGTCTCCTCATTGGGGAGATGTGGTGAAAAGGAGTAATCATATTTTTTCCAGCCATTTTGAATCATACTTTGACAAGCTTACTTTGCTTTACAATACTTATTATGTTATTATAAATAAAAATTACCTAATATATAATTTTCAATTTTACTTCAATACAATTCGTACTTCTTTGCAAATGAAAATACCTTCTTGAGTCATATCCGATGCTTTTAGTGTTAGAACGTTACCATCAAATAAAGAGTTTTTTTAAAAATCCACTTTGAGTAATATTTGAAAGATGACATTTATATTGCAGTTTGGTATCATACCGATATTTTACGTGTGCTAGTCCTCGCTCAGCCCGGCGCAGCTCGGCCCGGAAGAAAACGTGAGCTTCACTTGGAACGTTCCAACTCAGCTTGCCGTGCTGCATACCTTCTTCCTTTCCAATGCGGGCTTACCAGGTTTCAGTACCTCTTACCATTTGTGAGTATCGTGTGTGTTACTGAGCTATATCTATACGACGTGTCTGGCATTCTTTTGATTTAACGATTTGTAGTGTTGGATTGTTTTCACTGCTTTGGTACGACACTTGGACTGTTGATTTCATAATGAAACCGCTTAAGCAGTTCTAAGACAGTCTCGAGAGACTCCTCGTAGACCATCTTGACGTCATATAATCAACAAATTTTCATAGCAGTGATAGAAGAATTATGGCTAAAATGGTGGAATCTTGTAATCGCGAGAAAAACAAACAAAAAGCTCTTTGCGCCACTAGATTAGTCTTTAAAGAGAGTCCCTTTACCCAGGGGTTAGTATCACATCTGTCAAAGACACGCTAGTAAGCTTTTTCTCAGGTAAATTTGGCAGTACTTCACTGTCGTGATGTACACAGAACCCGCCTCTTCCCGCTCCCTTCACTGTGGAGTGTCCAGAAAAAGTCCGCGATTAGTACGTAGATGTTACTAAAACTCATCTAAAATACATGAAGTGCATGCATAGGTCTATTTTGAAATGAGAATTAATTTTTGAAATGTGCAGATCCTTTATTTATGTCATTTGCAAAACATCTTTCTAGTTGGGAGTTCTAACGCCAGGCGAAGGGTTACATCCTTAACGTCTATAGATCACATGACCAAAATATATTTTATAATTGTAAGGAACAACTCTCAGATGACCTTTAGAAATTGTGTTATGCATTATAACAGAAGTAGCATTTCAGATGCTGATAATATATCAAAGAGTCCGGGCTATTGGTGAGACACTTGAGCCTCGCTACGAGTCAAGAGCAAACAAATGTTTATTTTATTTTTTAAAAATATATTTATTCTCGTTCGACCCTAAGATTAATGTTTCTTAGGCCAGAAGTTTTAGATTCTCGACTTTGTGCGATGATGCTGTATTCTGAGATTTCGTTATGTATCGAAGTCATAACCTAATACAAGACATGAGTTCTTTTCATAATTTTTTTCCTCTCACATACCCAACATTTTTCTGTTAATTTTGGGATGTTTGTAAGAATATTGCAAGTGCATTACATAGAAGAATCAGTTGATCAGCCTTAGAAAACGTAACCTTTCCTGTTTTTCGGCAGCTATTCTACGAATTGTAAGGTGACCATGGAGACTCCTCTACTAGTCTATTATATACATTTATGAAGAGCCAAAAAACTGGTTGAGCTATGCGTATTGAAATAAAGAGATCTGGAACCAATCAGAATACGGCGCTCCGGTCGGTAACCACTGCATAAGATAACCAGAGTCTGGCAAAGTTGTTAGACCGGTTACTGCTGTTACAATGGCAAGTTCGAACGATTTAAGTGAGATTGAACGTGGTGCTGTAGTAGGCGCAAGAGAGATGGGGCATAGCATATCCGAGGTAGCGATGAAATTTGAATTTTTCCACACGACCATTTCACGAGTGTGCCGTAAATATCGGGAATCCTGTATAACATCAAACCTCCGGCATCAGTCTCCGGCCGCAAAAAATCGTGCAAGCACGGGACGACTGAGGAGAATCATTACACGTGACATAGTGCAACTCTTCCTCAAATTGCTACAGATTTCATTGCTTGGCCATCAAGTGTCAGCGTGTGAACCATTCAACCAGACATTATCGCTAGGGGGTTTCGGAGTCGAAAACCCACTCGTGTATCCTTGATGACTGCATGACACAAAGTTTTACGCCTCGACTGTGCCCATTAACACCGACCGAACTCTTGATGACTGGAAACATGTTGCCTAGTCTGTCGAGTCTCGTTTCACATTGTTTTTGAGTGGATGGGTGCGAGTATGGCGACATGATGAATGCATGTACCCTGCATGCCAAGAGGGGGCTGTTCAAACTGGTGGAGGCTCTATGATGGTACGCGGCCTGTGCAGTTGGAGTGATATGCAACTGATACGTCTAGATACGACTCTGACAGTCAGTCTGATCACCAGTCAGTAACCTTCCAGTGTGATCACCAGTCTGATTCATGTCCATTGTGCATCTCGGCGGACTTGGGCAATTCCAGCAGGACAATGCGACAGCCCACACGCACAGAATTCCTGCAGAGTGGCTCCCGACACACTTCTGAATTTAAACATTTCCACTGGCCACCAAAATCCCCGGACATGAACGTTTTTGAGCGTATGTGGGATGCCTTGCAGCGTGCTGTTCAGAAGAGATCTCCATCCCCGCGTACTCTTTCGAGTTTATGGAGAGCCCTGCAGTATTCATGGTGTCAATTACCACCAGCACTACTTCAGACATTAGTTAAGTCCATCGCACGTCGTGTTGCGGCACTTCTGCCTGCTCGCGGAGGCCCTACACGATATTAGGCGAGTGTAACAGGTTTTTGGCTCTTCAGTGAATGAAGGGATGAAGTCTATGGTGATATGCATAACTTGAAGGTCCGTGTGGTGACTGCATAACGTGGAACGTCGCTACCTTACGCGTGGTGCTAAGATCTCCTAGCTACTTAGAAATGGTGGCTGTTGGAGCGTGGGGCCATTCACGTCGTTGGGCCGCGCACAATGTGGCCACGTAAAAATATGCGCGTGGCCTTGGCGCCTGTGGCCCAGGCAGGGCAGGGCAGGGCAGC